AAAGTCTCAGGGCCACTCAGAGGGAGGAGTTGTACAGTTTGATGGCCACAGGCAGGAATGATTTCCTGTGGCGCTCAGTGGTACATCTTGGTGGTATGAGTCTCCCACTGAAAGTACTCTTGTGCCTGACCAGCACATGGTGGAGTGGGTGTGAGACATTGTCCAAGATAGTTCGTAGCTTAGACAGCATCCTCCTCTCTGACACCACCATCAGAGAGTCACACTCCGTTCCCACAACGTCACTGGCCTTGCGGATCAGTTTGTTGAGTCTGTTGGCGTCCGCCACCCTCAGCCTGCTGCCCCAGCACACAACAGCATAGAGGATAGCACTGGCCACCACAGACTCAGAAAATCCTGAGCATAGTCCAGCAGATGTTGAAGGACCTCAGTCGCCTCAGAAAATAGAGACAGCTCTGGCCCTTCTTGTAGAGATATGATATGATATATGATATGAGATATGATAGCCTGCCAGAACTTCCTGTAATTGGTCCCATAGTCAGAGCCATTTAATACTTTCACACTAGAAACAGACTGGACCATGGTTCAGTTTGATCCGGGTGGAAGTAACCCCTGAACATTATCTTAAGAAAATTGCCATAGATTATATTTTTACAGCGTTTATATGGTATTTACATACTGTAAACTAGAGACCAGGCATTGATACAACAAAGTGTGAATTGTTTTCTTCTTCGTGATTAGGCACAATAACGGCTTTGACTTTTTTGTGCTGTAATCAAGTGGGAAAACAACCAGCAAATCCATAGCTAGCTGTCTGGCTGATTCAAATTGCAGATAACGTTGTCAGGGAGGATGCTTCTGGATTGAGCATGATAGAAAAAACTATCGAGTATGCAGGACATAATACAGGAGAAGCAGCACATAGGTAATTTAGTACATTGCCAAACATTAAGAAAGCATTAGTGTCAACTTATTTCAGCAGTTGTGGAATAAAATAATTGCTTTTTCCCAATAGCGACATGTTCAATAAGGGATCGGACACCCTCAAAACCAGATACATGTGTATATCGTTAAAAGTGTAAGGTGTGAGAATGTCTGTGTCAATCAATTTAAGACAATAGTGACAGAAGTGTAAGGTGATATCTGCTATCAGATAGCCCATACATGCAGTACACTCCCTGCTCCGTGAAACCGCAGCTGTATCAGTCTTTGAGTGGAAAATTTGTACGTACAGTGTGTTTGTGTGCATGCCTGCATTGATGTGGTTTGGGTGAACATATTCCAAACACGTCACATGGTGTGTTTGGCATGAGCAGGCAAGATGCCACAGACATACTTCAAGTGTGTCCCACGCTCCGACCCACACAGCCTCATTACAGCCACTGTGAGCAAACGCTATCAGGTAGTGGCCTTTATATATTAATAGGTACTTGTATAATATATTTATAGAAGGCACTTATGCTATATTAATACAATTGCAGGGTTGGAGAGAGATAGAACATGAGTCCACATTCTTGTGAATTATACATTGATAAGAGGTTACACATGTCAAGCTCAGCGGGAGGAAGTGAGTCTCAGTTTATGGCTGTGTGCAAAAACAAATGGGGAACGAAGGGATTCTAGTTCGTGTGTGTGTGTGTGTGTGTGTGTGTGTCTGTGAGTGTCTGTGTGTGTCTGTGTGTGTGTGTCTGTGTGGACGTGTGCATCCACGTGTGTGACTGACATTCTCGTTAGCTCAGTATCAAGGGGTCATGGAGGTTAACAGACGCTGGCGGCTGAGGAGACAGACTAATTACCAGCAGGTTATTGGTTCAACTCCCGCAAGACCCATCCTTGTGTCCGTGAGTGCGTGTCTGTGCCTGTGTGTGTGTTTTGTGTGGGCTGTGTGAAGGTAGTTGCTCTAACATTCTCTAAGCTCATCCATTAATTAATATGACCATGTCAGCTCAGAAAAGAAAACATCATTCTCATTTCCCTGTGCTCCCCCTCCGCCTCATACACCGCCGTCCTTGCTTCTTCTTCGTCTTGGTGGAGTGCGACTCTCCCTCCCCCTCTTACATTATGTCTTCATATATCTCTCTTCCTCTCACTCTCTTATGCTCTGTGTTCCCCTCGCTTCTGACTTCACACCCACTTGAATATTAAAACGTAAAAACCAAACAAAGACAAAGAAAAAACAAAAACTGGAATGTTTTTAACTCTGCATCATCTGATGAAATTAAGAGCCTGCAGCCTGTCAGAGCAGATACACATCCATGATTGTTTAGAAATAATTCATGAGTCTCTGAATAAAAAATGCAGCTAGTTTAGGCACAAGGGAGCGTGTCTTTCATCGTGCTTTCAGTGTAAATATATTTGTTTTGTTCTTTTATGTGATGTGTTAATAACTTCACTCCTGTTATCTCTGCTAGCACCTGTAGCCTTCACATAGAGCGACACTGAGATCTGCTTTCCATTCCCCCTTCACATTCAAACCAACAGTTTTTGATAGAGAGTTATGATGCACTAAAATTGGTATAATCAAATGTCTGGACACTCTTTATTGCTTTCATGAATATATCTGTTTTGCCGTCTTTGTTATTAACATGGCGGGGATGCGCAAATGTCCACGGGGGATGGCTAAATATCTAGAGAATTTCTTTTTAATAGATGTGGTGAGATATATTTGCTGTGGTGCAGATCACATACAGAATAAAATATCATAATAAAAATAACCACAGCCATATTTAAAAAGATATCACCCACTGGAACTGATCGTGGACCGGACCCAGGAACCAACCTGGGTGTTAGAGCCAGCATTATTCCGCCACACATATCGGATAGAAAAACAAAACACAGGAAACAAATATCTGTCTAATGAAAAGTCTTGGCACTTTGTCACTGACTTCTTTATGAAACACAAATGCATAGATGTGTAATTACATATTCAGACACACTGTTTTGTCCAGGGAAATATGCTTATTCGCGTTCTTGCCAAAAGCTAAATAAGGAGATTGACAGTGATGTGCAGACATGGGAGTGGTATCATGTCTAGACATTGAATATGTAGCTACAGCCAACAGCAGATTGGAAACAGCTAGCCTGGTTATATTTGAAGCACAGACTGCATAAAAGAAGTGGACCTAACCTCTGGGTTGAAAAGTGAAGCTAATGGAGGCGTGCCTTAAACCTGCATTTTGTTTTCTTATGGCCACCAGGGGGCGACTGCACTGGTTGCAAAAAGAATTCTAAATTGCTTTGAAGTCTCTGAGAATATGACCCTACTTCTCACTTGACTTATTACCTCAGTAAACATTTACCTAACAAGTTTATGGTTTCAATCACTAGTTTCAAGTCTTTGTCAATACAGCATGATGTTCATTTTCTAAATGATGGTCCCATTCAGAGTTAAAAAGACAATTAAACAGGGTGGGCTTTAGGTAAAGTTGGGTACCGAAACTTATATGACTGGGAACTACTGGACCAAATCATATGACAGATTTCGGTATCTTATTTGGGTGCCATGTTGCACGTGTAACACGAGACAGTGAACAAGAGTGAGTTTGAAAGCAACCAAGCGTCTGTGTAGGAGTGATGCATGACAGTGAGGCTGCAGTGACCGGAGCAGAGAGTATGAAGATAATGTAGCAGTGCAGCGTTTGAATAGTTTGGGCTATTTGTCAGTGAATAAATGCTACAACTCCATAAGACCCAAGCCAAGTTCCCATGTCTCACTTACCACCTGCTGATTAAAGTGTAGGGAGTTAGCCCTGAAGTTAGCGAGCTAATTTAGCCTTCCATTGGAACCTGACCAGGCTCACTTAAGGTGGACTGTTAAGGTAGACCAGCTGTTCTCATTGTAGTGACAATCTCAGTCAATCCTAAACAGATAAGGAGAAATGTCTGGCTGCTGAGTCTCAGCTGAGATAGGGGAACAATTATTGATCCCAACTCAATATTTATTTTGCTGTTGTTAGTACTATTGTTGTTGGGTTATGTTTCATTAGTTAGGTGAATTTGTTAATAGCGTTTTGTATTTATCCATAGTTATATATTAAAGTATACTTTAAACTGTTAAGATATGCAATAAAAAAAGCCATTCTTTAATGTTATTGACTGTCGTTTGGGCTTTTTCTTTTTTTAAATAAGTATCAGTTTAGGCACTGGTACCATTTAAAAAGTAGAATTTCACTGATTTCTGGAAAAACCAAAATGATACCCAACCGGACTTTAGAGTGTGGCTACCTTGTGTTTGATAAGTCACCACCACAGCAACCCGTCAATCAGGATAGATTCATAGCAATGCTCCACCCACTCCTCCAAATATGGTAATTTCTGGTTCTCTTATAAAAACAAGATGCCGACGGCCAAAATGCCAAACCTGAATCTGAAGGTAAAAAAATCTGCCCACCAGTCCTGTCAAAGCTCTAAAATTAACACCTTTTATTTCATCATTTAATCCATAAAAAACTAAACATGTTAGAAAGTCAGGCTGTGGTTTTTACAGTGGTTATGTGCTATTACTTGGCCTTGATCAGTAACTGCCTGAAGACTGCTTGTGGCTGAGAAATAATCAGGCAAAAAAAAAAAAAACCATAGCTTGCCAATGAATGAGTTTGAGGTGCTGGTAGGTGAATTTTGTTACCTTCACAGAGAGTCAGGCTAGCTGTTTTCAGTGGTTATATTAAGCTGAACGGCTGATGAATGTCACCTCATATTTCCTGTACCGATAAGACAGTGGTATCAATCTTCTCATCTAACTCTTGACAAGAAACCGAAGAAGGGTTCTTTTCCAAAATGTCAAATTGTTCCTCTAAAGACTTGATTCTGATCAAATGGTACACACAAAGCTATCAAACTTAGATCTGATGTTCTTTCTTGTCTTTTTTGTGTCCAGTGAGCTGCCACACTCTCCTCGCTCCCTGACAGCCCGGCTCAATGACTCTGATTCCCGCTCAGTCCTCCTGTCCTGGCTACGCCCCTTTGACGGGAACTCCCCCCTTCTATACTACCTGCTGGAGCTCTCTGAGAACAGTACGTGTGTGTGTGTGTGTGTGTGTGTGTGTGTGTGTGTGTCCAGGCATACTTTATAGTCCATGAGCGACAAACAGCTGTTCTCTTGCTGTCTACCAGGCACTGACACACACTCATTTACAAGAGGCAGACATATGGAGAATGGTGTTGCTGCGTAAATGTACATCCAGGTTCCCTATAAATAAACTTTTCCTCCCACCCTTACCTCCTCTCTAACTCCCTCTTTCTCTCCCTGTCTCTCACCCTCTCTCTACCACAGATGTTTTAACAGCAGGCTGGCTTCCTGTCAAATGAGAAATAGAGGAAGAGAGGGAGGAGAGAGGGATTGAGTAATAGAATGACAGGAGAAACAGATTGGAGGGAGATGGCTGTAGAGTCACTGTTGTTCCCGCTGTAAACTAATCGGATGGCTGGGCGGACGTTACACGCAGGGCCGAGCACTTGGCCCACGACTGTAGGAACTGGACTGACGGACAAATGTCAAATGTAAATGTAGTTTGACATTTTAAGGAATCTTCATTCTGATAACTTTTCTGGAGACAGCAGGAATATGACTTCCTGCTGTCACCATTTCAACAGCTGCTCTGTAGCGTCTACAAAAATACTCCAAAATAATGATAGACTGGTCGATTTCGCTACAGACTGAATCCAGACAGAGAGGAATGGACGAGAGTGTCGTGCACGCCCATTACCAGCTGTGTGAATATGTTCTATATTAGATGTTTTGGATTGTATTTTAGAGAGAATGGGCCATTATAAATACAATGTGTTTTGATGTCAGACAATGGCGTTTAATACACTCGCTGGGCTGGCTTTTAAAAAGCACACACTATCCTTCTCACTTACACAGATACGCACGTGGCTGTTGGGACGATAATAGTGCATCTGTCTGTGGTAACTTCAGGAGAAAGACCGGGAAGAAGCATCTGTGCTTCTTTATGAACCCCCCTCTTCCATCCAAACTTTCATTCTTATTGAATCTTGTGGCACTTTCTTCCTTTATATTTCTCTCCAGCTCACCCCCTTCCTCTCTACCTTCCCTCCTCTGCTTCTTTTATCTACTCCTCCCTTCTTTCCCTTTTTGATTTATAGGTCCTGAGTGTCCCCGTGTCTCTGTTTGTCCTGCCTCAGCCAGATACTATCAGTCTCTAATCTTTGTGTCCTCTGTCTAGACTCCCCGTGGAAGGTCTACCTATCAGAGGTCGATCCCGTGGTGACCGAGGTATCAGTGGGCGGGCTCACACCTGCCAGGACCTATCAGTTCAGGCTTTGTGCCGTCAATCAAGTGGGCAGGGGCCAGTACAGCGCGGAGACACAGAGGTAAGAGCAGGATGTGCTCATTCAAAGACACATTCAGTCCTCTTGCACACATCTTGGACACACATTCACAACTACCAGCTTTATTTAACACATATTTCACAATATTTCTTGTGAAGCCACATTACTATTTCACTGATGTTTTCCAAAAAAGCATGAAACCATTTTTTTATGTAGAACATGCTGTGATGTGTGAGAAATAGAGGTTTTTTTTTCCTCACCCTGTTCCACCTCTGTGTAATAGACTTGGTCACACTGCCTTACGCAAACTGGGAATGAATAAACTGGAACCTTTCTACAGTCAAAAGGCATAGTGTTTACACACCCACACATTCTAATTTGTGTATCTAAGTGTGTGTGTGTGTGTGTGTGTGTGTGTGTGTGTGTGGAGCATGGATGGGACATGGGACTCAGAGTGTGGATGAAACAAGGATGGATCCTAACAAGGCGAGGACTAACAAAGCATCCCTTTTTTGTTTAGAATCCCATTTCCTTTGCATCACAAAGGAAATGGATTCATATTCATCACATCCATGCTGTAGATGTCTACGTGACGTGTGTGTGTATTTCCCTGCCAGTCTCCTTCCGTTGAGCTAAACAGCAAAAATGATGAAATTAACTCTTCTGCAAGGGTGTGTGTGTGGAGAAGGGAGAGTGTGATTTGGCCTGAAAAGTAAATAGATTGCTGTGCAGATGTTTTATGTTTGTATGTGTGTGTTTATCCCAAGAGAAAACTCTAATGGGGGTAATTACGATGCCTTAGCACTGATGGAACTGGATAGAGTGAGAGAGGGTTGGAGGAGGTGTGGCAGGCCTCTTAACAATTTTGCCCCTGCATACGCACATACACCAAATATCTGACACTCACACACAATACAACAGATGTGGCCGTGCATCATAAAGTAGACACACACACACACACTCAAACACACACACACACACACACACACACACACACACAAACAAGGTTTTTTTTTTTTTTTTGGCTGAAGAGAGTGACCACAGCCACAAGCCAGTTGTGGTTCTGCCAAACAGACTCTCAGTAACAACAGCAGCTATGAACACTACCATCACACATTCACACACCTCAGATTACAGCTTCCTTTCATTTTCCCCTTCTTCAGCTGTTTTTTGTTCTCCTGTATCTTTCTCTCTTTTCCTTTTTGTCAAAATCTTTCTCACTTATCCTCTTCAGCTTATTGTCCATCATTACTCTTCTCCTCCCTGTTTCTTTCTTCTTCTAATTCATATACCAATGTTTGTGTCCAGCCCAGTCCACGATCCAAAGTTGGTTGTTAAAGGCACTGGAGAATAGGTTGCATTGATCCTGGCTAAATGAAAGGCTGGCAGACAGGCCAGTGTATCAGAGCAGATGGATACATCTCTTCTTCATCGTTTGTCTCATATGTAACCATGCACACTTTGCTTTTCATCTGCTGGATGTTTGCCTGGATAAGACACGCACATAAGCATGTCGCAGATGCCAGGCGCGCGCTGCACTTGACATGCAGGGAGAGTGAGGCGGTGGAAAATGTCCTGCAGAAGCTCAGAGCTCCAGATGAGAAGGATGACAAAATGCAGTAATGTGAGCAGAGTGAGGGAACAGGACGGAGAGTGAAGGAGAAGCTTGTAATATTGATGACCAAAAAAAGCCCTTATTAAAGTTTGAGCTTACAGCTGCTTCTCTCTCTGCACTCTCCCATTTTGTTCTTGTCCTGATTTGGATCTTTATTGTAACAATGTGAATTCATACTTCTTTTTCATACTACTTTTCTCTTTGCTCCCTATCATCACCCTGCCTCACTTCCTCTGACACAAGAGAGTGCACTGGGGCATAAGGAAAAAGCATCCTTTAGATGGACATCTATGAAAAGTAAATGAATGAATGTGATCAAAGCTGAAAAACATTACTTCTAGATGCAGAAACTCTCTCGGAGAATCCAATTATACCATCTGGAGTGTCTCACACGCGCACATGCACACACACACACACACACACACACACACACACACACATTTGTTCATGCATGACCTACACTCACACCATCACCATCTTTAAAGAGGAAGCATTAAAAGAAGAAAGGCAGATTATGCATTAATGCCGTGAAGTCCGGGCGTCACCAGAAGTTTAAAGCATCCGTCTCAATTTTCTTTGCCTTTGCTCTTGTTTTTAATTCCAGCTGTTCAATCAGAATTAGAGCACATCAGACTTTAACACTGGAGGTGTGATAAAACACTCTCACATTTTCTTTTTTTAACACACACACACACACACACACACACACACACACACTAATAGACACTCAGTGTAAAAAATTAATGCTGTAGGAGCTTTGTGAGATTTAAAGATTTACAGGGGATTTGTCCTGTGCTTTCCAGCATCAATCTCGAATTATATATCTGTGTTTAACTGTGGCCGCAACTATGTTGACGGTGCCTATAGCATAGTGAGTGATTTATAATGATGGAGGGGAAACATCAAGGCAATTGCAGCGAAAAGGCTTTTACTGATAAAAGCTCTGCCATGAGGAAGAGCTCATTGTTTGTCCAGCAAAATGTCCGAGATTACAGGCAGTTTTCTTTAGCGTGCTCTTTTCTTTGCTGTCAACACAGACACTGTATCTGGAAATACATAAAGGCATAGTCATTTCTCATGATCGCAGCTCTTGCTGTGTTCCTGTATGCTGTGTAGCACCTATTAGTCGATACGTCTAAAGTGGAGGTAAAAACCTACAGCTTAGTCCTACATGTACCTGGGCAGATCCCACAGATACCAGAGATGTAAGAAGGGATAAACATGAATTTAGTAGATATGGAGGAGAAGTTGATCATTGTAGTTCAGGGCTACTCAACAGCATAGCAACAGCTGGCATAACCTGATACAAATAGATACAAATAGACATGAGTTATTGAAAGTGCTTGAAAAAATATATTTTGGCATTAATAAAATTGAAGTTCTTTTGATATTGTCTGCCATCACTGTAGCACAGCACAATGAGAAGTGCCTGTCTCTCCTTTCAAATGCCTTTGAGCTTCTGTAAAGCCTGATAGTTCTCATTATAGAAATTCTCATTGTTGTAACAGTAGCAAACCTTGATCCGTGAATCAAACTTGGGCCCTTGAATTTGAAGGACCTTGAAAGTCCTTGAAGAGTCCTTGAAATTAAACCATAAACAATGAAGAGTTTACTAGACTGAATGAAATGGAAGATATAGTTCTTCTTACAGAGGAGAACAATATAGCTTCAGACCTCTACCTTGAACCCCACTTGTGTCAATGCAAAAACTTTTTATACAAATTAAATAGAATATATTTTATAAAAGCTACTACATTTTATTATGGTGATGTTTTTTACTATTCTATTGAGATGTATTAAATTAACCTAGAAGATAACAGGGTCATTCTTTGTTTCCAATCCAAATCCATGATGAAAATCTTACACTTTACTTACACATGCAGATCCAAAACGTAAAACTTTTAGTAAATGCTAATGTCAGCATGCTCACAATGAAAATGCTAACATGCTGACGTTAAACTTTGTTAAGCTTTGATGCGGGGCCTCGATGCCCCCCACGCACACACACACACACACACACACACATTCACAGCTGTGATTGCAAGTATCATCTGCATTGTTTGTGTTAAAAGTGTGGCAATACATAAAGAAACATCAGAAGAGGAAGTACAGTAAATATGGTACCTTGAGCTACCTTGACAACACATTACAGCTAGCTGCTAGTGTCAGGGACAACTGTTTGATTCAGCGTTTTGTCTTCTTATTTTATATTTTTACATGAGGATGAAATGTAATCGTATTCCTGCATTTTTGTTATTCTCTGTACACCCAACTGCAGCTGTAATGACAGAGCATCTAGTGTCACATTTGATTTGTTTTGAAGCCTTGTTTGAGGAATGCAGTGAGAAGTGACATTGACCGATCAGGTAATGTGACTACAAATGTATATTTTATTGAAATGACAAACATAAAACGCATATATAGAGTGTGCCTCAGCTGGTGTTCATCCATTGTGAGAATATGCACAAAGTTTCTCAGTTTCCCCGACAGAGTCTCTTTAGTGTGCCAGCCTCCTCCATTTGTGCAGCTTTCAGCCTCAGGCAAAACAGCACAACATTTAAAGCAGACAAGACTTAAAGTGTCAAACAAGAAGAAAATAAGCTCATCTATTTGGCTGGTTTTTCCCAATCATGTCGCATCTGGTTCCTCTCTCTCTCTCTTTATTCCTGTTGCCCTCTGCTCATTTCTCTCCATTTCCGACTCCTACTGGATCTAAATTTTACTATCCTGTTTGAATAGAGGCAGATTTAACATCCCGGTAACACCATTAAATTTAAGAGTCGGTGTGTATGTGGATTTAGTGAGAAAGCCGGTGGGCATTAAACTGTGGAGAATGACACAGATAGAAACTTTTACTAATTCCCACAGCATTGGGGCTCACAAAATAAATGCCCCCCCTTACACACACACACACTTTCACTCACACACTAGAAAACATGTAAATCTCCTGCAGAAAAATGTCCTCTTTTCCTTAACAGCAAGGGACAGAGAAAGTGTGTCACACAGCATTCAGACAAAGTTTGTTTGGTTGCAGTGCATGTATGGATGTTGGTATGAATGTTTCTAAGTGTTTTGGGGTGGATGTGAAGTGGTGTATGAGTAGGTGGGCTGGGGCTTGTCTGTTCAATCTCTGGTGTGAAGTTGATGTCCTCATGCTGAACCCTCTGTATGAAATATTTACATGCAAATGGTTGGGAGGGAATTAAGGCAATTCACAAGGAGTTTCTGCTATCGAGTATAAGTGTGTCAGTGTGTATTGTGTGTGTTTTACTTGCAGTCAAACAGTGAATGGCCGCATCTGCTCAGTACTGTATGGGTGTGTGGGTGTTTGCGTGGCGTGAGTTTGTGTATGTGCATTAATGTGCATCATCAATTTCAGTCAAAAGCAGTGGCATAGTTGAGGATTATATATACCCCATTTCCAGGCGGCTACACTAATGCCCATCTCATTCACACAAGGCCCATTAGCCTACGTGTGTGTGTATGTGTGTGTACATGTGTATGCCTGCAGCACCTGGTGCTGTCTGACAGTGCCTAACCTAATGGAAGTAAAGCACAGCTGTAAAACCACTGGCCTGTGCCATATATCCGCCTGCGTAAGTCTCCAGCTAACAGCTTTCACACCCTAACTTTCACACAAACACACACATATAGACGTGCACACACATTTATAGGCACATACAGATTCAGACACACAAATACAGAGAGCCATACCACAGCTAATGGCTCAATAGCTCACAGAGAATCATTCAGGGAGACACGGGGCACAGAGGGGAAGTGAGGAGGGGGTGTTGGAGGGATGTAAATCTCCAGACATAATCCATGGAAGGGAAAAGACCATCGGATGTAGCAGTCTGTCTTAAGCTGAGAGAAATTTGTTTGGTGTGTTTATATGTGTGTGTGAGTGTGTGTGTGAGCACATATGGCTCTGATTACGTTAGCTGAGCTGCTTACAGTAAAGCCAGAGGCTGACCAGCTCAGCCCGTGTGCTTTACCAACCATGAGAGGGCCGGGAGCTTTAATCACGGGTGGGGCATGAAGGGGAGGGGAGGGGGGGATACAGCGTGGAAGAGGAGGGAGAAGGAGATGAGTAAAAGATAGAAGGATGAAATAATTGAGGCCAAAGGACATGATGGATGAAAGGTGAAAGTTTGCAGTTGTGAGGCAGGAAAAATGGAGACGGGGATCAAAGTGTCGAAGGAAAGATGGGAAAAGGGTTTTAAGAGACAGAAGAGAGTTGAAGAGGGCAGAGGGAGCGAGGGGTCACACTGTCTCAGTGGAAATAAAAAGACGAGCTCTTTGCTCATTCTCAACTAATAGTGATTAACTATCCATTGCTGTCATACTGTATAGCTGGTCTGCTGAGGATATTGTGATAGGTTGAAATAGGAACTGCCCTTAGACAGATTGCTGGTGTATAAATGGGACATTGGAACGAAAGCCTCACGTTAAAAGGACAGAATATTAGCAATAATCTGCAATATACAGACAGTAAATGCCTGTTTGTTGTTCTAAGCTGCCAGTGAATAAAACACAGCTGTGTCTCAATGTATACCGAGTTCATGAACGCTTTTTACATTTGTTGTTTTAAACACCCAGTGTCAGTTCGATCATTCCCAGGAGAAATCCTCTGGCGCACTGGAAGTGATGCGTTAAACGTTTCCATCAGCAGCGGCGGTGGTTTGTTAGAAATAAATGAACACTATAGCCAGAGATGAAAAGCAAATGTATTAAATGAAATTGCAAGATGCACATGGAGAACGAGGGACGAGAGAGATGAGCCCAAAATTCAACTAGAATTCATCAGAGCTGCTTAAGCTGTGAGATGATTCTCTGTAATAAGTTGCAGCTACGTCTCGTGTATCTCCAGTGACAAACATGATCATGTGTTTGCCGACAGTCTGACCCCCAGAATAGAAAAGATGAAGATGCCTGGGACAGAGAGTTGCTATGAAATTCCTTTTTAGCCTGCTTACCTAACACACTGCTCCTGTGCAGACTGTCCATATAAGTGATATGTGGGGACCCCAGATGAAAATGTGCCTACACTTCTTCAGCAATACTGATATTCTCATTACAGGACGCCTAATAAACCTAATCTAAGTCATTTGTCTCTCTTGCCTTCTCTCTTTCTTTCTTTGTGTGTTAGATTGATGCTGAGGGAGGAGGCACCCAGCGCGCCTCCAAAGAATATTGTTGCTAGTGGGCGGACAAATCAGTCCATCATGGTCCAGTGGCAGCCTCCACCAGAACCCCAGCTCAACGGAGTCCTTCGAGGATATGTGCTCAGGTATTCACACAGAAACATACACACCTACATCTCTGGCACTGCCATTGGCAAGAAAAGTGAAGAAAAGTCTTCAATCAGACTCTTTCAGGACTGTGGGAGCTCTGCATTGTGTGGAATTTTACAAAATCCCACACAGACTACAAGTATTACAGTTGAAATGAACTCCTTTACAGAAACATTTAGTCAAGTGATTGATAAGTTGAACACCAGAAAGTTAACTGGGAACAGTTTTAAAAATGGGCTCCTCAGTAAAAGGGATGCTTTGCCGATTTTCAAACAGCTTTGTATTATAACAGTGTGGGTAGTATGTGTAAATGAACTGTGGTAAACTTCCCTTTATTTTACCAGCACCCAGATCTGCCTGCTCATCTCTCAGCCCCCAATCAGATTTTCACTGGCTCCAGGGTTGTTGCTTAAACTACAGATTGTACTTTTGCATTTTCATATACAGAAACAAAGAGTATGTAAGCAGATTGAGAGCAAGACCTGCATGTGAAAAAGAGGTGGACGCCATACTGTTTCCTGTATTGTGAAAACAAAGGCAAAACATACTGAGATAAAACGATAAAACCAAGCAATGCCCATCAAATATGAACCAAAATTCGGTTACTGCATTGCCTAGTTCTCACCTCAAATGTTTTCAGAAATGTATTTAAGCTTACTGTCATTCCAGACAGTTTGTTACAGCCAAACTCGCATTACGACACCTACCAGTAGAAGTGTTTATTGGTCCAGTGTGGCAAAATGCTTTCTGGTAGTTGTCAGTTTTCTACTTCTTGAGCAAAAACAAATGCCACAGCCATTTTTCTCCATTTTGTCAGGTCATAAGGCAACAATTTCAAAAGTATTTCTGTCTCTCTGCTGCATAGACAACCTAGTTTTATGAAGCAGTGAAATACTTATTTAAGTAATTCTTCAAGGAAAAATGCCAAAAACTCACAAGTGCTGGCTTCTCAAATGTGATGACTTATTTCATTTGTTCGTTTTTTCCACCAAGAATGTTTAGAGTGTTGTTGTGTAATTTGGACTTTAACTGTTAGACAGACCAAACAAGTAATTTCACATGATCACCTTGGAATCCAGAATAATGTGACAGGCATTGTTCATTATTATCTGACATTTTAAAGACTAAACTGCTGTAAAAATGACTGTCTGATAACTCAGAGGATTATAAGTTGCAGCCTCAGTTCAGAGAAAACCAATGAAAATGTATATTTTGCGTTAATGGTCAAGTGCAGGGACACTCAACTTGCTTTGCCTCAGGACCAGTTTTGCAAAAACAAGAGGCCACGGGGCCAATTAATAAAGAAACATTAATAATTATATATAACGGATTAGCCTGGATGTCTGTCAGGGGAGCTTCCTCTGACACTTTCTTCATAAACAAGCTTTATTTTGATGTTTTTTAATGCACTTTGGCGCCTTATTTACATACAAGGTACAAAAAAGTGTGACTCCAATTACTTTCATTGTGAATTAGAAAATTGTTTGCCGGCCACCCAGCACCCTATTGTGTGCCAGATTCGGCCCACAAGCCATTAGTTGGGTGTCATTGGCAGTGAGGTTGCAGAGCTGAAACTTCTCCTGTGTGCCAAGCATGGAGGAAAACTACAGTGGCCAACATGAAAATGCAAATGGCCCCAACAAGAGCCAGTGTTAGGTTTGTTCATTCTGGGCTACTGTAGAACAACTTGGCGGACTCCATGGAGGATATAAATGGATATAATTGTTGTTTTCAGGTGACTATAAATCAATGAAAACATAGTTATGAATATTAAATACCATATCTGCCAATAAATGCCCCTAAATGCCCTACACACTGAACATTTAACAAAATATAAAGATGTATGTCTACATTTTTGTGTGTCTCCCTCTGTATCAAAAACATAAGTACACATACATTCACACGCACACACACACAAGTGCTCTTTACAGATGCTCTGGCTGCCCTTGGTCTGCCGTCCTTCACTTTGATGTCTACCTAAAGTGTGACACACTGGGTATAATCAAACTGTCATCAGCTGCCTTACATGAATTTGCATATAATTGCAGTAGAAGTTATTGGGTCTTTATCCTCGTTCAGTGCGCTATCTGCCTCCACTTCAGAAATCAGCTGAAAATAGAACTGCACACTCATACATACAGTGTTTTATAGGACAGAGCTTCTACCTCCTCCTGCCCTCCTCCCCTTTGGAATCTCCTTTCTCCTGGTTGTATCAGCTGGCACATCTTCAATCTCTTTCTCCCACGTTCTCACACCATTTCTTCTCCATCAGACCCCCCCCCCTCCACCTCCTCCTCCTCCTCCCCCAGTGTGAGTGTCAGTGTGTCAGGTGGAGAGAGAGGAGAAAGAGGTTATCTCCTCTCCACTACAGAGATCCCCTGTCAGCCTCCGGCGCCCCCTCGCTTTGTGTATCTGTGTTTGTGTGCATGAGTGTGTTCCTGCGTTGTGTGTATACAGTGTGCATGTGTGATAGAGCGCTGACTCAGCCGGTGAAATGTTGAAATATCCTGTTGCACTGAATAGGCTCCATATTAAAACGCTGACATGTGGATTATTACTCCATTCAGCTCCATCAGATATGTACAATACCTAAGCGGTATTACACCTCCTGTCTCGTCGGGTCATATATCCTTTTAAGTGGACATTTATATCACATGTAGTAAAGCACAGGCCTTGAAGGTGCACTATTCAGAGATGTCTGCCAGGCATTAAAGGTTTTTATTCTTTAGGGATTCTGACGTGATTCAAGCGACTTTTCAACAATAAAAATCTTTCAGAATAGTTTCTCCATCTCTTGGAAGGCCAAAACAAGTGATGCTGTGTTAAAGTGATATTTTTATTTATTTTAAAATGTGTATTCAGGCATTCACATTCTGAACACAATGATGTCTTAAGTATTTCCAGCTTGGGGTTTATTTCTGTGCGCCCATCTGGTTTTTAATGTTAATTCATTACATGATTTCGTCTGTTTAGAATCAGGTTTACTGCCATTAGGGCTGCAACTAACAATTATTTTCACTGTTGATTAACTATATTCTTGATTAAATGATTAGATAAATAGCCTCTTAAAAGGTGAAAATGTTGATCAGTGTTTCCCGAAGCTTAAGAGGACGTCCTCAAGTGTCTTGTTTTATATTCAACACAAAGATATTCAGTTTACTGTCATAGCGGAGTAAAGAAACAAGAAAATATTCACATGTAAGAAGCTGGAATCACAGAATTTTAAGGTTTTTCCTTTAAAAAAATTACTCAAACTGAATGATTGATTATCAAATGAGTTGGTGATTAATTTAATAGCTGACAACTAATCGACTGATTAATCATTGCAGCTGTAATTGCCTAGTACATTTTTGCAAACAAGTAATTTACCATGGTATTTTGATACATAACAATAAACAAAGAGAAAATAATGTTAAAAAAACAAGGTCAAAACGAAGAGGATGTAATGTGCAAAATATTGATCAAGGAATATCAAGAAATATTTGCAATGTCCAGAGATAATAGATGTGTGTTAATGTAACACATCAAGTCAGTTGTGAGGACCTAACGTTAATGTGATGTGTAGTGTCCCTGGGGCGGGACAAGAGTTAGTGAAGGTGCCCGGCCTTGTTTACAAAGCCAGCAGCTACAGTCAGGATGAAGCTATTCTTTTGGCCTTAGGTCTCAGTCTTGATGGACTGCAGCCTTCTGCCAGAGGGAAGTGTTTAAAGAAGGTTTTTTAGGACACATATAGACATATTGGAGCAATTCTGGATTTATTTTTTCACTCAAGGACACTTAAAATGTGAGAAGGAAGAGGGATTAAATCTCCCCCTACAATTAACGTCCCTCTTCTACCATAGACGTCATATACATAGATTTGTGTGTGTATTTTGACATATGCCTATTGTCATGGAAAAAATATCAATTATGAAACCATGTGAATGTCAGCATAACATGAATAAGAGTTATTATTGTATGAATGTGGGATTCATCCATGGTCATGGTTTGGTATTTTAAAAGGCCTCAGAGTTCTTCACTGTCTGTGTGCAGGCATGTAAGGTGGTTTTAAGGTGTCTGAGGGTTAAGGTACTGTACGATTAGGACATTGTAAATGTTCAGACTCCTGTGATTAACAGACTGGGCCAAGGTTTACATAAAATTATTTTAATTTCTCTTAGGTGGCGTGATTAAAAGTGCTTATTTATGACATGTAAAAAGCTGTATAAGGCTGAATGATTGTTCTGTTAACTGTGAATTTCTTGGTATGTCTCTGTCCATACACACATGCTGTACCAAGAGCTTTTCGGATGCAATCCGTGTTGAAATTAAACCTATATATTCAAGTAAGAACAACAAAATGAAGACTGAAGAGAGTATAAGTTTTTCTACATCACCTCTCTCTTGCTTACCTTCCTCAATTGTTTAGCTGTAAACCAACATATTCACAACTGTGTGTGTGTTTCTGTTTGTGTTTGTGTAGGTACCGTCTGGCAGGGCTGCCAGGGGACTACCAGGAGAAGAACATTAGCAGCCCAGAGACCAACTACTGTCTGCTGAAAGATCTGATCATCTGGACACAATACCAGATCCAGGTGGCTGCCTTCACCGGAGCCGGCCTGGGCGTCTACAGCAGCCCTGTCACCGAGTACACTCTGCAGGGAGGTGAGTTAAGACACACACACATTTTTATTTCTCCTTCATGAGGACAAAACAAATGTACCAAGACATTTTGAGACATTATGTCCATGCACACACATATATCATTGAATTTAAAATATTCTGGCATAAACATGTAAGTAGCTTAACCTTTCAGTGTGCATTAATTAGCTGCCCTACCTTGAGTTCTTAAATCCTGGACTAAAAAGGCTTCACATCTTGATAATCCCACATTACACCCACATGTCCCCCAGGGTTCAATGCTAAGGTTTTTTTTCACTTTCCCGGTTGGGCAAGTTGGTCAGAGATCTATTTGCCCGAAGTCAGTTTTTACTTGCCCTATAAAAATTGTTTAATTTAAGCGGCTATCAAATAACAAAGACTGCAGTTATTTTTATGTTATGTAATCTTTATTCACACTGTATTTATTAATTAAAACAACATATGTCATATATTGTATTGTATTGTATAAATGAAAAATTTGTCAATCGTTCTCCGTCTGTAATTTTGCACCCTTTTGCCCACCTCTATTTATTTTTCACCCCTCTCTCCAGTTCTGCTGTATTAACACCGGGTTTAATATATTTTGCTTCCATCTCTCTGCCCTGCTCTACTCTACTTCAACGCTACTTAGCTCTCTCTCTACTCTACCAGTAGACTACCACATCCACCTGTTGCACAAAACGCACACAGCAGTGTTTCCCCTAGGATGCAGTTGTAGCAGCGGAGGTGAAGCACACGCATGAAAAATAATTTTCACATGTGTGAAACTTTTTTGTATGCTTGCAAAGCACAGCCTGCTGGGATGTTTCTATGTATCTACTGGCACCAGAAGGGCTCTTTAGGACTAAGTACATACAGTACATTTGTGCACAGTAATGAGCAGGTGAAATGTCTGTCTATCTTACATATGAGGTGTCTCAAGATTTAGGAACATACAATTGTATTGAATATAATAAAGTAAAAAGTCACTTGACATGCTGCTGTTTTGTGCTATGACCTATTTAAGTGTTGGAAGTTGTTATTTACGTGACAACGCCTGAACGCAACACAAGCTCAGCATGAGTGCCATGCGTGTCTGTCTGTGCGTAACAGCAGTCTGTTGGTTATTTACACACTGTCCATTTCAATAACTTTGTCAGCTGACAAACTGCACCGGGCTCAGGGTCAGGTTTGGTCAGGAAAATGCGGCCCGAGCCGCTCTAGCGTGATCACCTGTGTGTGTGTGGCGGAACTCCGCTGTGCGCGATACAGAGAGCAGAGGAGAATTGTTCACACGTGACCATGTAGAGACAGAAATGACACGATGGCATAACACCATAAATAGTATATTGTTATGTTATTATATGAAGCGTCCGTCGCGCAAAATAATATCAATGGGGGCTGTGGGCAGGACATTGTTACACAGCTGTGCCTGTGACTTCAGGCAGAGAGACCGCTGCATCAGAGCCGAAGAGCACGTTTTAAAATACATTTATTTTATCAATTAGTTATTAACTTTTACTATTTTTAGCAACTTGCCCGATCGGGCAAGTGAGTTGTTAGTTTACATGCCCGACCGTGAGTTTTACTTGCTCCAGGCAATTGGGCAATCTGTATTGTTGAGCCCTGTCCCCACTTAGTTATTGTATTGCACAGGAGGCAAATGTGTATGAGACAAAGCTGGAGTGTTTTGAAATGTTTTCTGGTGGTAAAATGAAGTCTATACTGTAAATGGATTTATAGATGATTAGTTGATTCAAATTTCAGATGAGACAGCAATAATTTCCCATACACTTGTCCAGTAAGTTGCTGTTTGATAGATCTTTAAGTCAACTGGTTAGTCCTTGGTGTCACCCATTGGGGCGCATTTTACTTCTCCCTGTTTCTTATCCAAGTAAGATGCAAGACCCCTGTATCCAGATTAGGTGGTTGTACATAGTATATGATAGGGAGAGCATTATTTCATGGAGTCATGAGCTCCAGTAACAGACTTAAGCTGTAGATGGAAATGACAGGATGTTGCTGGTAATTGATGTGTGTTCTTGAGATCTTTTAATGATCTTAGGCTGTTATTATTAATGATGTAAAAGAGAATACAATTAACGAGTATGGAGGCCATAGGTTTCCTACCTAAACCAACCACTGAGTTTGTCATCTCTCACACTTTTGCACTTATGGAAAACGTTTGTTTTACCTGCCCAGATATCTGGATGTAGTTGTGTGGATGTATACATCTCTAAAAAACATTTATAGTATACTATAGAAGCAGCAGTGGGCTGTAAAAAAGCCTTGGTTCCACCAAGCAGTCCGGTTCAGTGCAGTTTGTCACACATTAGACTTGAGACTTGAGCCTTGAGAGGATCCAGTTGATGCAGCTCTGACTTGTGTTAAAGTTGCCCCTGAGGCATCCCCTCAAAGGCATATCAGCTTCAACCGACTGGGAGATGGGCCCTGGGGGTGACCCAGGACATGCTGGAGGGACTGTACCTCCCATCTGGCCCAGGAGCACCTTGGGGTGCTGCGGGATGAGCTGGAGGAAGTTCTTAGGGAAAGAGTGTCTGTACTGGTCTATAAATATATTATATGATACGTAATCGTGGGTTTATTGTAATAAACATGGCTGCACAGAGGACCACACTTTTAAGTCTGTCAAACATAAATCCATGCGGATGTAGTGAGGGACAGAAGGATGTAAGTGAAGACATTAAAGGAAGACGGGGGGAAGTGGTTGTGGGGGTAAATCTTCTTTAAACACGTGCTCTTCCTGACTTTTATTCCAACAATATATTATCATTATTAAAGATGGCTGAGCCACACACACACACACACACACACACACACACACATAAAACTCATAGTCATTATTACAAGAGTTCAGGACAGGTTTATAGACTCGGGAGAGGGAGTTGGGCTCATTAATTATTCTAATGTGGTTTAATGGGAGTGGCTGCAATGGATTGGACATTTTCTCTCTATCACTATCTCTGAGAGGATGTGGTTGAACTCAGTGTTAGACTGTGATAACACTGCTCTTCTTCCGCTCTCTCATACATACGCGCATACTAAGATTCCCCCAGAGGACAGAGTTTAGTGTTTTATCTGTAGCTGTGAGCTGCAAGGGGTTAGAAGCTGATCCCAGGAGTACAGTCAGCATGGTGATGAGGGGGTGGGGGGCATCTTTAACATCAATTTATCTTCCGTCTCCCACTCTGTCTTCGCATCCTTTGGCTCTCTTTCTCTCTCGCTATCTCTTTTTTTCCATTTTCACTGGTTTTTGTTCTGTATATTCTCTGTGTGTCTGTGTGTCGTCTGGCCTCTTTGGCTCAAACATAAGTTGTAAAGGGCATTCCCATCATGCAACAGTGCATTATCACTCGATGGCTCTCTAGCATCAGCATAAACCCCTTACAGTGTAATCACCATAACATGCCCACTGACACACAAACTGCACTGTATGTAAAAGCACAAACACATACACACACACACACACACACACACACACATTTCCCAGTCATGCTCCTACGCTTCTCTTGCTGGCTTTAATATTATTATGGGTCCTATTTCTCTCGCTGACCTGCCCGCCTGATAGCTTGTAAAGATTCACATGTAGAGACATATTCATACACTGACATAAAGGAAGAATTAGCAGGAGAGACAGTGGACCCAAAGTAAATCTGTGTCTGTCTTGTGTGAGCTGAACACGACATGTTCAGCCCTTGTTTTACCTTCCACCAGCCTCCTTCTTAAAAAAAATGAAACAAGTATCCTACATTTCAAAGGAAAATCACTATAATAATACACAGTATATTCTACAATCTCTTATATCTCTCAGCACTCTGTCGTCTCTGTCTCACTCTCTGGTGGATGATGAATGCCCTCACCACGTTTATACACAGTTCAAACAGACTTATTGCTATTCTGCTATTTACGATATAAATTATTGCTGTTCTGCTTTAGTTTGACTGCAAAATTCTTATTATTAAACTTTTTATTGTTGAATCTTTGAACTCAGATTTGAATTTGAACACAGAAAAAACAGAGCGTCCTAGTTTGTTACTGATTGTTAGTAACTTGGATGTGTGGATGTTTTTTTTTCTGTACAGCAAAGTATAAGTATTGTATCCAAGTAATGCTGGAGCACCACAGTTTTAAAGTAAATGAGCAAATGAATGCTTTTTCCATGGATACAATAGTTCTGTGTATATGAATTAAAGGGCGCTCCACTGATAAAGCACATGAAGCTCAGTTCACCAATCACGAGGAGTACTACTGAATGCAAGCCGTGATCATAGTTGTACTGCATAGTTTCTGCTGTGGATCTAGAGAGAAAATTACATAGTGTGAAAAAATAACCCTGATGATGTCATCTGGGTTATTTCAGCTTCAGCTTGGGACTTAACATTTTCAAGAGAAAACCTACATTACAAAGAGGAGGTGTGGGGTTTTAAAGAAGTGGTGCAGGGATGACATTTTTTGTAGGCTGATCTGGAAGTTAGCATCACTTTGGTTCCCTTGGAAAAGCAAAACTTTATCATACAGTGACACCCATTCTATGATTTTTGATCCATAAAATCAGTCACTTAACTTTAATGTTATGACAACTTGGCTTTGAAGCCGTGCTCGTGGTGATGACCCTCTGTAGTCTCATTTAGCTACTTGTTCGCAACTGTCTAAGACACACAATAGTTTCAAAATCAGGAGTGGGGTATTTGCTAACATTTTATATTGTAGAACAAAACATGAAAATCTCAGATGCTTGTGTTAACCACAGACCTGATTGCATGCATCTAACAAAAACCCATTGACTTTGAAATGAAACAAATGCTAAAATGCTCACTCATTTCTTTTAGGTTTTAGGACTCATTCCTGCACCACTCATTTTTCTGAAAATAAAAAGACATTATGCAGTTGCATTCTGGGAAATGTAAGGTCCAGTATTGTTTTAGCATGATGCATACTGGGGCCTGAAATGTGGGTTATCTCATCCTCTACTGTGTCAATTTTAATTATTCTTCTTTCAAATATGTCTCCTTTGAGTTCTCCAACTTCGTGTGAGTGCAATACTAAATCACAGGAGTCCCTTTGTGAGCTGAGTATTAATAAAACTCCAGTGATATGATTCTTGTATCTAATACATTGTCATTTTTAATCAGTAAATTATGGTGTAGTATGAGGCAGTTACATCGTGTGGGTAATAAAGATTGACAGGTTTGCCTGGTTAGCAAAGGGAGGGCGATTTGGCTGCAGGACTGAACCAAGCGAGTCATCTAACTTTCTGCAGCCACTCTCTGTCCTCATGAGGTCACTGACTGAAAGGCTTAATAGATTTATCATTTTAGCTGTCTTCATGAGCTGTGATTGTTCAGCACCAATCACTGAAGGGGCAGTACCCTAACCTCACTTAGTCATTCCTTAACTGATACTATGCAAAACACGTGAATGCAAAATACAATAGATGGGATGAATTTTTTTTTTTTTTTTTTTTGAGAAATTAGGTCATTTTGCTGCAGAGAACAGCAGTGTGGGCTTGGCATTTAACTTTTGCAAGCTTAGCAGATATTTTAAATTAAAAAATGAACTGAATCTCAATGTGAAATACTGAAATATGGTGCTGTATGATATATTCAAAACCACTACTTGTTGGAAAAAGTAAAAGCATAACCCTGAAAGCTGCAGCTCGCGGCTCCAAGTCTGTTACTGTTTATGTTTTTTTTTTTCCAGTGTATCTAAACACTCATCCTCTTCCCTGTGGTGAACCCATTGCAGCTAAATGTTATGTGCGTGTATTTCTGTGTGCTCAGTTCCCACAGCACCTCCGCAGGAAGTGGAAGTTTTAGCTATCAACTCGACTACCATCCGCTTCACATGGAATCCTCCACCTCAGCAGTTTATTAATGGCATCAACCAGGGATACAAGGTAAGCCTCTGCATGTGGGTGTATGTTGTAACTCCTCGTATCACACTTAGTAAAGTAACTGTGTGTTCAAACATTCTGGTTAAGTTCAATAAATAATAGACCTTGAATATTTTTTTTGTGTAGGATCGCACCTGTATTGCATGAGAAATTAAATCATTTCAATTTTAAAGTCCCCATAAAATATAAAATACCCATATTCCTATTTTAATCCTGTGTCCCTGTGGTAAGTGACCATTTATCTCTTTTATATGCCAAATATATCTTAAAAAATAGCAGTATCAGAGTATTTTTTCATCAGAATCTCTAAAGAAATGTCGGTTTTCCTCCTGTAAAACCAGGAAAACAGTTTCAAATGTTTGATGGATCATCCTGCTCTTAGGGGTATTTACAAAATTCAATCAATTAAATGAGTCCTTGGGTGACTAGATACCCACAGTGGTCATAAAAAACTGCACTTCACTGTTTGTGAGTTGAATGGGCTAATAGTGCAACATAGAGAGAGATAGGAAGAGATGTGTGTTTGGATATCAGAGCTAAACCTTTGTTTTCATTTCCAAAATAATTTCAGTCAGGAAAGACAGAGGAATGAAGTAAAGATAATATTTAATACAGAATATGAGTGTACAGATTAACAGATGATTTGTGCTGATTAACTTTGATGCTTGGACACCAGAGGAAGATATTTTGTGATTGAGGGACATCTGAGCCACAGCAGGATAAATCCCCCCCATGGAGTCCAGACACTGGTGGTGTTGGTGGCTGATGACTCTGAGGCTGCTGACTGCTGAGGCAGATGAGCCTGATGAATCCGTAAAGACTAGGTGGTGATGGGGAGATGGAGGGCGTGCACGTCAGCAGCAAGAAAGAAATACAGCGGAGACAGGACCATATTCAAAATGAAGAGCAGTAAGATGATAGGCTGACAGAGAAGGTGTGTCACTGTGCTGTTGGTTGATTGTGAATCAGCCGATGACTCAATTGACAGACCCAGACAATGACATCTAGAGATAGTGACTGAGCACCTGTGAGTGAGTGAGTGAGTGAGTGAGTAAGCAAGTAGTGAATGGCAGGGTTAGAAAGGAACTTACAGCCTGAGCATGAAAAGTATTCCTGTTCTGTTCCTGACTGAACTTTTGCTAGAGCTTAATGTGGCTGAAGTCTATTTCATCCCCCTCATCCTCCTACCATTTTAATGGCAAGGGATGTGAATTTGCACAGTCTGCTCAGCAGCAGACTTCGCTGTAGCCCCATATCATGCTAAACTCTAGGCCTGTCCACGTTTTGAGATAGAAAAATATGCAAAAGATTTGATGTAAATCCTTCTTGTAACTGTGCTCCTCTCAAATATTCCATCCCACTGGGAAATACATCACAGTACAGGAACTTAAGACGCTCTAACTTTATTTTCACGGGGGTTCTAAGTTAGATGATGATGTACACAAAAAAAAGTAAATTAAAACAAAGTCTGATGTACTATTTATAGGACTAATGACCTCTTTTAAATGTTAAAAATGTCTGTTTTTATCTTCAAATTTTTGTTTATCAAAGCAACCCCTGCACAGACACTCGTCAGAAGTGATATTAATCATGCAGAAAAGACAATAGCCAATATCTGAATTATATTGAGCAGTTTTGAGTCCAGGACCTCCAACCCATGTTAAAAATTTTGAGCAGACTCCATAAAAACAGTCTGTAAAAATGTATTCATCTTTTTCCATCAGTTTATCGGTTTAAATTAAAATATAAATAGATGCTTGTAAAATAAATCTTTGCCTCTGTGTGGGTGCACGAGTAAATTTTCTTGAAAACCCTGTTAACCTCTCACAGGACTTTCAGCTCAGAGGTCATGTCCCAGAATGCACTGCCTTGCTCTTGTTTACCCATACGCTTAGCCCAGCCAAGTGAGGGATCAGCTCCAGGTAGAAATGAAAATGACTGATGGAGGTATGTGGAGGAAAAATAGAGAGGATTAAGTGGGAAAAGAGGAGAGGAGGTGTTGAGAAAACAGGGAGCAAGGGACCAAAGAGAAGTAAGAGATAATAATAAAGAAGCAGGATAATGGGGAGCAGGGTGAGAGCGAACGGATTGAATAGTGTGAGTGATCTATACGTAGCAATTCTGGTATGTGATTTATTCTTCACTTTATTGTGGCAACCAACCCCTGAGGAGCTGATTAACATGACAAAGAAAATACATCACATTCTTGCTGTGCGTCACTGGGTCCGTGTGCGAGTGTGTTTTTAGAGTGTGAATGTTGGCGTCTTTGTTGGTCGATAAATAGTATATGGCTTTTCATCTGTTTGATGTGGCCCTCTGATGCCGTCTCTGTATACCAGGCTTTACCATTCCAAATCAGTGGAGCCTCTCGGTGCTGCTGCACATGTGGGTGTGCGTCTTTGGGTGTGTTGTGCTGGTTAGAGGACAGTAGATAATGATATTAATTAAAAGAGGATATGAAGCAAAGCCTCATCTCATCTCATCCCCCCAGAGATCACTGACTGTATACAATACCCTTAATAATATAGCTCAAAACTGATTGCCGGAGGGGGAACCAAAGAGCCACCTCTGACGAGTCCTCCATTTACATGTCCTTGAAACTGTGTTGTGACTTGGAGTGGAGTTTAAGACAAGTTGACTTCGCATAACATATTCTACAATATCTGACGTTTGTATCTGTCCATTTATGCGTACTAACAAAGAACAGAGCAATCATTTTTCATTAAACAGATTGCATTTGAATTCTAGTGGGTATATTAAAAATGCATTAATGGTGAATTATGCAGAACATATATACGCAGAGGATAAGCACTTACCAGCCCAGTATAGAGAAACACTCTCAAAGAATTTTACCCTGCACCTGAGGTACCACATGTGGCAGCAGGAAGATCAAGCTGTGTTTTTTCCCTTGTGTAGCATGGTGTTGTTCTGTCCCTGCTCGGGTCGACTCGGGGACAGAACTGTGCTGCATGTGTTCTTCAGCACACTTTGGGGTCTCCATCACAATCGGGTTCAGAATGCAAACGTTACTATAGCAACAGCAGAACCCAATCATCCCAGCACCCTTTGAAAGTGGACTAGCATCAGATGCTTGAGGGTGCCAGATCAGCACTGTTTTACTGCACCCAAACTGTGCTGTGCTGATAATAAAGTACAATAGAAAACCTTATTTTACCATGACAGACTGGGTGCAGTGCGGCACCCTTTAGGCAGAGAGAAAAGCAGCTGTCTCTGGGTGTCACAGACTTTTTCTTAATAAGAGATCCCTGTGTTTTTGATTGGGTTCCTGTTGCAGACTGTAGAGGTAATGTGAAGCAGTGTGTACGGTGGAACAGCAGTTACACTGACGATCCTGAACATTTCTTCTGTAGTGTATATTTGGCAACACATGCTTATTTCACACATATATTCAAAGTGAAATGTGTAGGTAGGAACGACGGGGGACTGTGCTGTTACAATACACAACACTCAAAACAAACCAGCATAGTTATATGACTAGTTCACCCAGAAATAACATAAATGTATAAAGCTCTCCCCTCCTTTGGCTCTTTGTGGTCCCAGATAAAGTTTTTAATTGAATAGCGAAGAGCCCGAATAATGAAAGCATATTAATGGAAACAGACTTTAATGGAGACAGAAGGAAAGACAGCAGAAAAGGTTAAAAAAAACGTCAGAGATACTTTCTGTGTAGCGTTCTCCAAGTGTCAGCTATTTTGCTAAACTGTTACTAAACAAAGCATTTTTGGATCTCCATTCATAAAGGAATATGAACACTGAATAACCTGTAAATAAGCATTCATTTAAAAATATCAAACTACAGCTCCAAAATGCCAAAATAATAATAATGACTTTATTAAGAACACAGAGAAAGGTCCATAGCGTACCACATAAAAGCAGATAATCATCTGTGTACAAAAATACGATATAATTAATACAGTCTAGATATAAAAAAGACCCAATATTACATAAAGCAAGTTCATTTAAGAAAGACAAAATTCAATAAACTGCACCCCCAAACAAGCTGGAGAGCCTCTCAAAATCACTCCCTTATTTACTCATTCACTCCTTGTATAACAGACACTTAATAGTTTACTGGGTGGTGAGACTTGTTAATCATTTTGCAGCACCATTTAAAGGTCTTGAGTCTCACAAAGGTCATTTTCATGTCGATAAAAATAAAATACACTTTGCATTGTGTGATTGTATGAAAAATAGCATACATGTCATGGAAGTGCAAAAACCTAAAGGGAGCTCTACTTTGTGAATGCTAACAAAATATCCTTTCATGTTGAACTAATAACGTGTTCATATCTTACTAGCAAGTATATTGGTAGATACTCTATTAACCTTGAGTGTGGCCAGAATGACTTAGTGTTAAATTACAGCTAGTCAAATAGACGGTTAAAAGAAATCCCCTTTGTAGAAGCATATTGTGAAACGGAGACTAGGGAAACCACTGTGGAGAATATTGTTAGCATTAGCTCAGTAGCAGTGCATGAAAGCGTAGCACCATCACTGGGTTTCCACTAGATTATTCAATGAGACTTTCACAGGGTTTCTGCTGGTTATCCCAACACTGCACATGGAGACTATAGTAGAGGGTGTTGTTAAGATTAGGTTCTTGCTTTAAGTTGTAGGCCCAGGGACAGTGTGGAGAAAATTAGTGTGGGTGACACACTGTATGTATGCCATCACTGATACTGCATACAAAAACAATGCAACAGTGTTGATTATTGTAACATCATTTACTGGGTGGAGAATAAACCAGAGGAAATGGTGGAGAACACATTGAAGCTTCAAGACAGCAGGTGAGACAACAGGAGTCTCTGCAAAGAACTGAGAGCAGAGTAGTAACACACTGTGCATACAGGTCAGAGTTTTTGGAGTTATCAAATACAGAAGATTTGTTTTGTACACTGACCGACAACACGGTGATAATTATTGTCTGTAAATGTCTTTCCAACAATATGACATTAAAAAGACATTTTGAATTCTATAATCATATGCAGCTTGTGTGTAAACAGTCATTCTCAGCACTAACCCACTGCTCTGTTTAATTCTGATGAAAACTCGGCCCCAAGTTCACATCTTAGCCAGTTATTGTTTAACCAGGAACTATAAATATGGTACCATAACACAGTTTTGCCCATGGCTTATTTCTCATTATGAATATGTAAGTGTATGCTTTCCCCTGTTTGTTTTTGTGGATAAAGCAATAACGCAAACCAAACTGCTGTGGTGCTGAATATAAATGGAGTCTCAGAATAGAAATGAAATTAACTTTTCATTAGGCATTTAGTTGGACTGATAATCAAACTTAGCGTTTGTCCTCAGATGCCGTTATTGTTGATAATAGCCTGCTGGCAGGAGTTTATGTTAAGTGCTACATTCATACGTAAATAAATGCTTATATTTTAATATGTTTGGAATGCAGATAACTTTTTCAAGGAGTGAAACATGAATATTGTTTTGCCATTTTGACAAATTTGTAAATAGCATTTGCCAGTTTTAAACATTAATGACAAAAAACCCTTGGGTACCAGCCTAATTTAAAATAGATTTACCATCGCCCATACTGGGGTACAAATAAGTTTTGTCTCATAAACACTGTCTTAATAACAATATTTTGGTTTGGTAGCCTGAAGCTAATTCTGATTGATTAAAATAATGACTAAACAAAAAATATTGAAATATATACAGCACACAAATAGCTGTGATTGACATTTTAGGTGCTGAAGTAACCTGCTGGATGTCATTAGCTATTAACGGGAGCCTAGATGTCAACAGTAAACATCTTTCTCACTTCTCACTCAGCTGCTGGTCTGGCCAGAGCAGTCTCCAGAGGATGTTACCATAGTAACCATCACTCCGGACTACCCCGGTTCACGCCACACAGGGTTAGTCAGTGGACTCAAGAAGTTCACCTGGTACTTTGGCTCCACCCTCTGCTTCACAACACCTGGGGATGGCCCCCGCAGCTCGCCCACTCTGGTGCAGACACACGAGGACAGTGAGTACATGCACACATACACACACAAACACACATACACACACCTCAATGTGAATAAAGCCAGAGCAGAACACAAAGAACAGTATCAGTCCGTCCTGTGAATAATAATGAAAGAGTATTGACTTGCTCCACGCTCAGTCCAGCTGTTTCTGTCAGTGTGATGCACAGCTGTGTACACAATGTTTGCTCTCAGGCTCTTACTTTCTTTTGTCTACTTTTTAATCTTTTTGATCTTAGTTCCCCCCAACTCCCCCCTCCCGCCATTTTTTTTTTCCTTCACTGTGTCTTTTTAAAGGGAATTGATTCATATGTTTTCAGGCATACTGGTATTTAGAGCCTTTTGTTCCATGGATAAAGATAATAGCTGCCACTCCCAGTTGCAAGAACACGTGCACACAGTCGCAACGTCAGATAAACACAATAGCCTATAGGGAGACAGACAAGCAATTATTACCAACCAGAAATTATCGAGTGGGAAAGGGATATTAGAACCCATGTGTACACACAAACACAAACACACATACACACACACACACACACACACGCTCCCACACAGCAGTCAACTGGTATTGATTGGGTGCTGGGCGTGTTGCAGGGTTAACGGTGGGTGTGATTCTTGCTTGATGATAGCTTTTTGCGTATCTGTGTGTGTGTGTGTGTGATTGCGTGTGAGTGTTATTGAATGTCTCAGATGAATAGCTTAATCGCTCTGCAGGGAGAGCGGTTAGAGAGCCATACATGAAATGAGAAACGACAGGCATGCGTGCACCTGAGTGCGTGGGTGTGTGTGTGTGCGTGGTGGTCAATGCAGACGTGATTAGGAGGTGGTGTGTGAAGTTGAGGAGCAGTAGGTAATAGGCTACGTAGACAGGAGGTATGTGTGTTTGTGTGGAGGGATTTCCTCAAACTAAACTGCTGAAGAAGTTAAAATAAAACAAATATTATTTAATGTCTTTGTGCTTTTTTTCAGCACCTGGACCTGTTCGCCACCTGAGCTTCACTGAAATCTTGGACATGTCCCTCAGAGTCAGCTGGGCAGAGCCTGAAGACAAGAACGGCATCATCACTGGTTAGAGCATTTAAAGTACCTCATAACAGTCACTCACGATTTCCTCTGCCACCTCCATAATCAAGAAACTTCATCTTACCTTGTTATTTTCAGTCTCTCTGACAGCTTTGATGTGAATAGCTGAAATTAGGCTGAGTTAATATGTTCTTGACAGAAAGTAAAAACACACATTGGTTCGACATAAGACAGTTTAAAATTCCCCTCCAGGCACCTTTTAAAGCCTGTAAAATTACTCTACTAATATTTATTTTTTGTTAAACATGGTTTTCCCACATAAAAACTTAACAAAAAAAGGGTCTGGAAGCAGATCCACTCTTTCTCTTTCATTGAGAAATTTTGTATCTGGCAGCTTGACCAGTAAAAGAGCAGTGCTCATCAAGATGGCTAGAGTTAGCATGAGAGGAAACATTGGAGAGATTCAGCTGTTTGTGTGTAAAGCATGTTTTATGTGTTTATGTTGTTGTGATGTTACAGTGTGTTCACATTAGGCCCATTTCCACCAAGCACTACAGTACGGTTCAGTTCAGTTCGGTACACTTTTTTTCCGATTCATGTGAAAAGTTGTGGATGGTACCAATGGGACCGTTCCGTATCGTCCCCCATTTTTGGTCCCCCCCTCTGTTGGGGTACCTAGCACACAGATCTGGTACTAAAAGGTGGAGCTGTGAACACTGCAATCTGATTGGTCAATAGAGGACGGTCACTTTTGCTGAGGTTTGAGTTGTGGCTGGTTTTGAGCCTCATGTAACCACTGTTCATACTGTGGAGAGTTTTACATATATTAGCAAACTATAAAATGAAAGGATGTTGGTGGAACGTTTACTTGTAATGTCAATGGATGAGTTGATGATGTGAATCCATCAGCACACCTTAAATTTCAGTATGATAACTTTGACTATTACTTTAGTTTGTATTGTCTCTCTTGGATGACACAGACTTTTTGTAATGAGTGGATCTTCAAGCATTTAAAAATGCATATTGCTCCTCACTCGGAGGGGAAAAAAAGCATTGCTGAGCATCATTCCTGTGGGCTCTGGCAACACTAAACCCCTGAGCTTGCCTGAGAAGGACTAAATTCACAAGCCCACTATTTTTAAATATCCTATCAAGAGAGACTCTCACTGCAGGCTGTTTTATTTTGTTATGAAAATGCCGGCATGCAGCCCCGTTCTGTGGACGATAAACGAGGTGCGGTCATTATTGTTGAGGTCTTTCATTGGCTCTCAACCAGGTGTCCAGGGACCCCCAGTGGTCCTGGAGGGAGTTCCAGGGGGTCTCTAGAAAAATGGGGAATAGTTTATTTTCACTATTTAATTCACTACAGAAGTGAGCCCAATGCGAAGAGAGTCCTTAGTGTGACTATTCTGATCAAAGGTTTAATTCCTGCACAGTTATCTCCTTAACTGTAGCTGACAACTATTGCATTCTGGTCTCAATAACATCTCACAACCAAAATCTTTTCAGAGGGAGGTCTCTGAAGCAAAAATTTTTAAAATGGTGACCTACTGTGAGTCAATTTAGGGGTCCGTCACAAAGAAAAGGTTGAGAACCAATCTTACAGGGGACATAAACATAAGGAAAATACATTTTCGAGTGGAGGGGATCTTAAAAAAAAGTTGACATCCCCTAAAGACAAGCAGTGGTGAGGGAGGAACTGGAAATCTTTTACAGGTTCTTCAGTATTCTCCACTTAGTCTTGTATTTCAGTGTCCACAGGCATCCTCTTGTCTCTGACACTGTGTTTGTGTTCAACTGATTCATCAGCAGTTAATCCCTCTTCTCTGCAGCTTGTCTTCTCACATTATCTCCAACATGCCCTCATCCCACGCCTCCCAACACCCAGGGTGTTGTTTGTGCAGCGCATCACAGAGCTCAAGGCACTCCCCCACCTCCACCCCCACCCCAATTCATTTTGCCTCAGCTCATCCCTGGATCTGTTAGACAATGGTGCTGGTGAACAGGACAAGCTGCTGTGAATTAAGCGATTACACTACATCGTGTGTGTGTGTGTGTGTGTGTGTGTGTGTGTGTGTGGTGACATGGCCGCTCCATGCCCAACATTCATCAGGCACCTACACTACAAGATCACAGTCAAACAGCGTGAGGCTGCAGTAGCTTTACTGTCGGCTTACACACTCAGAGGAGTGGGAAAATGGTTTTTCAATCAAGGTCACCTTGCACATTTACTCTTTTCTCCTCAACCTGCTTTTCATCCAGCACCTGGTGAGCACAGAGACAGATGAGGGACCATTCACGCTCTCCAGGGCTATACTCACAAGTGGCCTCACTCACACACACACACACACACACACACATTTGAAGGTGGTGGAGTGTGATGCATGACTGTGAAGATGCGTAGGGACAGACAGGGATTTTGACTATAGTTACCCCTCCCGCACTCTCTTCCTCCTTTTTGGCTCTGTCCCTCTCATTATGTGTGAGTATGTGTGCTCGTGTGTGTGTATATGTCTGCTCTCGTCTATATGCGCCGTTATTAACCCAGCGTGTGCTCTACATCCCCGCAGGCTACGTGTTGTGGTGGGAAGTGTCTGGCGTAGAGTCGAGTCGTGAGGAACGTTCACTGTCCAACTCCACCCTGCAGTACCAGCTGACCGGCCTCACCTCCACCACAGCTTATGCACTACAGGTGGCAGCGCTCACCGCCGCAGGACGGGGCGTGGTCACATCCTCCACCATCTCCACTGGAGTCCCACCAGGTACAATAAAAACACACACACACACACACACACACACACACACACACAAACACACAGGAGCTGGTGACAGAGGATGTTAAAAAAAGGCTTTTGCTTGTGTGTATGCGTGTGTGCGTATGTGTGTGTGTAGCAGAGTAAATATGACTGATGAGCTCTTACGATGCCATTGTCTTTCCTCAGGCTGATAAGTGGTTGTTACTGGGCATCCATGAATCATCACCCACACAACCAACACACACATTCACATGCACAGTCACACACCAGAGTTAGTCATTTACAGCATCTTAGAGAGCGCTTTAGTGTGCGGTTTGTTTCTGTGTGTGTGTGTGTGTGTACTATGTGCACACCGCACTTGTGTGCATGATGAGTTTGTATGATTGGACTAAAGCCAAGTTGCAATCATTATTAGTGCTGATTAACTGCAAATGGCAAAGTGGAGGGAACGCAGAGATGGGAGAGAGAGGGCAAGAGACAATCAAAGAACAGGACTGAAGAAGGGAGAGCAGATAGAGAAACATAATGAGGGGAGAACAGAGAACACAGGAAAATGCAATCTCCAAAGAACAGAAGACCAAAGTCTCTCAGAAATGGACTGGGAGAAAGTGGAGGAGAATGGAAGAAAAACTCGGCTCATACAGCGGGATTTTTGTCCTAACATTTTCTGATTACTAATTTATGAATAAAAGCAGAAAAAGTGAAAGCAAGATGGATACAGATAGTTCTTAGATTCAGAGGTTATTCATTAATTCATGAAAGCAAAAGACTGAAGGAAAGACGGAGGAGTGAAGATTAGGAAAAAGAACTGAAGAATGAGCAGAGAGAGAGAGAGAAAGAGAGAGATCCACCGAGCAAAGATTCTTGTCTTGTTTATTTATTCATGTATTCATGGAGTTGAGAGAATTTTGTCATTCATCTGAGCAAGGCAGCTGATATCAACATTTCCACATTATAACCCTTACAAGTTTGCTGCATGCACTTACGGAGCAATGGCGGATGATAGCTATAATTTGTCTTTTGTCGCATGCATGTACCTCGCTGTATGCAGAATAAATATTGCCTTGTTTCCATAATAACTGGACCCAGTCATGTTATATAGTCCTTTTACAATTAAAAAAAAACCTGAGATAGTCTACAGAATCTCTCTGATGTGTCCCAGTGTACTGGTGTGTTACAACACATGCCGTTTGATTTAACACATTGGCTTTACAGATCTGTATTCTGCCACGTTCAGCAAATATGATGCCTGTGATGCTGCAGCAGAATTGGATGGATTACAGCAGATCACACCAGAGCACTTACACCATCCAGAGAAATATTAACCAAACACGGTGACGAGAAGTGGTTGAAAAGTGGGTCTGAAGTACTTGGTCTTGTGATGAGTGAGACAATTTTGAGCGAAGTGGATCGTGATGATTTTTGATCATGTAAATTTTATTAACAGAAACAAGCTGCCAAGTATTTCATTGGTTAGGACATGATCAACAAAAACAAAGACAGCAACAAAGAAAACAGGAGCAGTCGTCACATGAGCTGCCCATCTGACCAACTCCAAGTCAATTCAGCAGCTGACAGTGAAGAAGTCTGTTCAGTACCAGCTATAAATTGTGTGTGGCATTTGAAAGGTGGAGTTGTAAACCTTTCATTGGAATATTTAGTTCTGGTTGAAGTGTGCATACAAAACGTATTATTATTCCTCTTTGATTTATTCAGCTTAACAAAGAAGAAAACTCACCACCTAACATACACACTACAAAAATGCTATTATTGTTATAACATTATTACTAAAATGAATGTTAGCATAGTTATTGTCATCACTGTTTGCCGTGCATCTCTCTCAATGTATCATTTTGTCATATGGATTACTGTTAATTTATTATGTTGATCTGTTCTGTACACACGACGTTTATTGCACGTCTGTCCGTCTTGGAAGTGAGAGCCTTCCTTAGTTGCTCTTCCTGAGGTTTCTACCATTTTTTTCCCCGTTAAAGAGTTTTTTGGGGAGTTTTTCCTTCTGTTGTGAGGATCCAAGGACAGAAGGACTTCATATGCTGTAAAGCCCTCTGAGGGAAATTGTGATTTGTGATATTTGGCTTAATAATAAGATTGAACTGAATTGAATAGAAGAGGAGTAAATAAAAATGGCTTGCTTGTCGTTTACTGAATTCATTGCAACTTTCACCTCGAATGTGGCAGACGCAACTATTCAAACTTTTAGTCAGTGGTGTGGAACAAACTTGCTGCATCGATTAGGCTACTGTCAAATCATTTTCCTTGTATTGTTGAATTACTTGATTTCCAAATGTTTACCTCCATTTATTGATGCTGTTTATACCATTTGCTGGTTATGGAAGCTAGTTATTTTTCCTTAACAGCTTATTCTCACTAAAAAGCTTTTAAAAGTTGGTGTTCCTACAAATTAATCACATATTCTTAACTTATCAGGGCACCGTTGTGTGTCAGCTATATTTTGTCAGCTATGTGTGGACATGTTTATACTTAAAAGAATACTTTATCCAGAAAATTACCATTTGTAAATCAATTAGTCGTGATGTGTTAACTTGAATTCATGAAGAAAACTTTGTTTTTGTCACATGCCTCCATGGAAAACAGCAAACTGATCAGCATGATGATGTAGTAATCAGCATGACTACATCAAATCACCTGTTTATGAGCTCTAACACAGCCCGTGCAGTATAATCTTAGTCTCATTGATCCAGTCATATGCTCAGTACTTCCCAAACACGTGCATTTTTGCTAAAACGATACCATAAAAAACTGAATTGAAACTTTTTTTTAACAAAAATGTATGTATTTTGGAAGTACTGAGCATACGACTGGATAAATGAGACTCAGATAATACTGTGTGAGTTGTGTAAGAGTTTGTAAATAGATTATATGGATTACATATGGATTATATAGTTTTGCTGTTGTTAAACTGGTCCCCAGTCAATCAATAGATAGATATGTCAGCTGTTTTCCATGGAGGCATGCAATTAAAAAAAAGTGTTTTCTTCACAAATTCAAGGACATGCGGCATGACTGATATACAAACAGCCATTTTGTGGGTGTAGTATTCCTTTAAGGTGTTTTGGGTTTCAGACAAATATACAGTCAGACAGACGGACAATCAGATGCAGCTTGAAATGGATCAAAGATTTTAGATTGGGGGAGATCATTTTTAAGCCCTCACATGTTTTCAGCTTCTCCTTTCTTTCCAGAATGGTTATGCCACTCAGGCTGCCACAACTGGTCTGCCACATTGCACGTTTCCTGTCACTCAGTATCGCCATAGAGATGGAACATTGTTAGAATAAGAATGGGTCAAACATAATTTATGAGACTTGCAGCCTACTCAGACATTTATAGGCCTTAAATGGACTTTAGTGAACTGTGCATGTAATTCACCTCTCGCCTCCACTGGTGTACAGATTCATCTCTCTGTATTGTATCGTCGACCTTGGAAGTATGAATTAAATTGCTCTGACTGAGAGAGATATACAGCTGTAGCATTAGTGCCTGCACTTTCGTAAATTTAACATTTTTCTTTCTGTGACTAATCTTGTATTTTTTTCTTTTTTATGGCCAAGCATGGGCACATAGACTCATAAAAAATAACTGTAAGCAATTTCTTGGCTCACTCTTACTTAAAGCTTTTTTTATATATATTTAAGTTGTCATTGGCGACATGGTTTCCGTGTGTCTCCCTTCCTATTATCAGTGTCATTACATGTGTATGAGATAAGCCATGTTACAGTTCTTACCACATTTTTTCAGTTTTGGAATTTGCACATATTTTTATCCCTTCATAGAAAATGGATAAACATTACTATAAACAAGGGAAAACATTATTTGTCTTGTTAATTTCCTTTGATCTATCCCTTTGAAATTATTCACCATGCTGTGATGCCACAGTCCCTTTCTGCTCGAACAAAGCACTAGTGTTTGCAAATGAATGCTTATTTCATCTCGTCGCTGCAGCACCAGCAAGCAGAGGTGATGTTATTCCAAAGAGTTTGTAACTCACTATTTAATCACACAGATTTAGGTCAATAGATATTTGATATACCTGTGAAAGTACATAAAATGCAGTGGTAAGAGGTGACCTGGCAGTACTGGCTGAATGATAGCAAAATTCTCTTGTGTCTTGTATTCTGTTTTCTGTTTGCAGAACTTCCTGGTGCTCCATCAAACTTAGTCATCTCCAACATCAGCCCTCGGACAGCAACACTCCGGTTCCGCCCTGGTCCTGATGGCAAGACTGCCATATCACGATGGATAGTAGAAGGCCAGGTGTGTGTTTGTGTTTATGCACACGTACCTTTGTGGTCCCTGCTGATTTTGAAACACAGCTGGAGGAAAACTGTTTTCTAACAAACAATATCAACCATGAACAGGTAGTGAAGGAGGATGGAAAGGAGGAGGAGTGGAGAGTTGTCTACCAGAAAGACAACCAGCCAGACGCAAACACGTTGGAGATCCCCGACCTCAGTCCGTTCACCCAGTACAGGTGAGCAGCGAACATCCTTGGCCTACACAAGAACATAGTCAAGTGCTACCACACACACAAGTACACCCACACAAACTCACTCACACACATCTCACTCTCCGCCAGTTTCTGCAGTATTGCAAGACTCAGGTGAAGTTAGATAAATCACACAGACACACAGAGAGACAGTTCCATCTGAGACTTTTCTGTTTGTCAGCACCTTCACAGCTGCTGCATGCAGATCCCTATTACCCTCCTGCAACTAGCTAGAGGGGAGAAGAGGGGAGTGGAGGGCAGCAGAGGGGAGGAGAGGGATGAGGGCCGGGGAGAAGAAAGGTGATGAGAAAGCTGGAAGGGCAGCAAAGAGCATTGAAGAGGAGAAGAGACAAAGGGATAAGAGACAAGGAGAATAGGAAATAGAGGAGGAGAGAGGAGTGCCTTTAATCCCTGCTCAAGGGCCGTGTGGAGCCCGCAGTTTATAAACGTGATCTATCGTCCCTCTGGACAGCAGCAACACTTCCTTCTCTTTCTCTCCTTCTCTTTCTCTATCAATCTCTCTATCCATCTTCTGTAGTTATCAGTCTATCTGTCTATCTTTGCCTCTTGCTCTCTGTATCATTGCCTTCATCTGTAATGGGATTGCGGTGTGTGTGTGCACACAGTGTGCACTCGCAGGGATTATGTTGTCACAGGCGACACCATTGGGACATTAGATGAAGTGATGCACTTGTCTGTGTTTCTTATCCCCCGCTTTAAGTCCCCCTTTTTCACCCTGCTCTCTGTGTCCCTATACAGGGACCAGAACTCATAGATGTAGTCTCTCACATGCACTCCGCACACTCACACATTTTATCACTCACACCCACACTGAAGCATGGTTGCATTTAGAAGTAACACAAGTACCAAATGCTCCCTTGTGGCTGGCTGTGTGTGTGTGTGTGTGTGTGTGTGTGTTTGTGTCACCAGGTCTGTTTACTTATATCACTTTTTCTGACTGACTGTTTGGCATCCTCAGATAAGTTAACAATGTGCCAGTGGCCTTTTCAGAATCCTCTGATGGAGAGTTCCAGCTGAAGGATGGCGTCTAGTAAAATGTGTTTTTGTTGAAGCAAATACCACAAATTCTCTTACTATAAGTAAACAAAAAGTTTAAAAAATATTTTTCTCCATTCTCACTGTGAGGTCTGGTTGTCTTGTTGACATGTCCTGTGATATTTGGATTGTCTGCAGTACATGATGGAACCACTTTGTCTTTTTGGTGATTGCTATTTTTTGCCACCGCTTCTGCAGTAACACCGTGTACTCAGTGGAAAATATAACATCCACCGTTCAGCCTTGAAACCTTTTGGTCATGTTGTTTATAAAAAGCAAGTCCAGTTTAGTATTAAACTATTATCGATTTGGCGGATTCAAAAGTGGCAGATTTATAAAAGAAAAGTCAAAACTGAAGCGGTGGAGGCTGAGGTTCCCTGACTTTAAGTCCCTTGTAATGGCCAAGCTCCATAAACACTGGATCCTACTGTGTTTGGAAATAATTATTTTCTTGTTAATTAATCAGATGATTATATTTCTTGATTAATTGATTGGTTTGTACTATAAAATTCCAGAAAATGGTGACGATCTGTGTTTCCCGAAGCCCAAGATGACGTCCTCAAATGTTTTGTTTTGTCCACAACACAAAGATATTCAGTTTCCTGTCATAGAGGGACAAGTAAAACCAGAAATTATTTATACTTAACAAACTGGAATCACAGTTTTTTTTTTCTTTAAACATTTATTCAAACTGATTAATGGATTGTCAAATTAGTCAGCGATTAATTTAATGCTTAACAACTAATTGATCAATAGATTAATCATGCAGCTCTAGATTCTACATTACAGTGCATCATCTATTGTTAGATCCTCCCTGCCAAATAAACACACACGTCTTTCAAACGCCATAGCCTCACTGAGTAAGTCAAGCCTTCTGTTATAGAGTCTCCAAGCCCTCTGAGAATACCCCACGATGATATCACTATGACATCAGAGTTATATTTTGAAACTTTGGAGGTCCCTTCCAGAGCCGCAGTTGACGTAATTCAATTATTTTCACAGGCTGAGTAGTACTTCTCATTACAAATAAACTAAACTGGCTGTTTGTAATCAGTGGAGTGTCCCTTTAACTGTGCTCTCTGTTCTCATCAGGTTCAGGATGCGGCAGATGAACATTGTTGGCTCCAGTCCCATGAGCGCCCCCTCCAGGCTGATTCAAACCCTGCAGGCTGCCCCTGATACACACCCCTCCAGCCTTACCCTGCTGTCTGTAACACAGACCAGCCTGAGCTTCAGCTGGAAGGTACTGAAACACACACAGATACACACACACACACACACACACACAAACATGGCCCCGGATAACCGGTAAGCAGAGCCGCTCGTAACAGGGCTGGGGTGTGGCCAGACGATGGTCGCCCCTCTCCTATCTCGCACCACATGTTTGTGGAGAATCTGGTGCTAGATCACTTGCAGACGACCTGTGTCTGGGTCAGGGTTTTGTAGCAGTGCAGCTCCCTTGCTGCAAACTATCGAAAGTCAGCCCTTGATGCCAGCTTTTGTAGGGCGGCTATAGCTCAGCGGTAGAGTGGGTTGGCCGCTAATCAGAAGATCTCCGGCTCCTCCAGTCTGCATGTTGAAGTATTCTTGAGCAAGATACTGAACCCGATGGCTGTTCCAGCGGTGTGAGAGTGTATTAAAAAACTGAGTAGCAGGTGGCACCTTGTATGGTAGCCTTGGCCACCAGTGTGTGAATGTGTGTGTGAATGGGTGAATGTAACTCGTAGTGTAAAAAGCTCTTTGAGTGGTCGGATGACTAGGAAGTCGCTGTACAAGTACAAAACTTTTGTCTCCCCCCTCTGGCAGTGAGAGTTCTACACAAACACTGTCGATCCGTACGTATGACATATGCCTGCAATTGAGTTCCAACAGGCAGGTTTTAAATTGGCACTGCTCTAGTATTTCACAGATACCTAACGTGACATCTATTGCTGCCCTTGATCCCTTCTCTTCTTTCAGCGTTCTGCAATGATGAAAAGAAACACCACAGGTGAACATGTTTGTCCCAGTTGTCAACTGATTTATTTTTTTTAAATGTAATCATTCCCTTTTTATCTGAAACATCCACACCAAAAATTTTTCTTGGACACTTCTTAGGATTTTCCTCCATAGCTTCTGCCATACCCCGAGCTGCTGCTGTGTTGCTATGGTCTCTCACCATACCTGCCCCTTTAAGTTCTGACTGGTTGACGTTAAACACATCACTTTCAATGCGCAAGAGTGGGAAAATCGCCACAGACATCTGACACTACAACACCGGTGTGCTGTGAAATACAGTGAGCTTTCCCTGGCGGCTACAGGCTTAATCAGCATTGTGTGAACTCGTTTGCCAAGGGCTTTAATGTTCATTTATATTCACAGATGTTCATTTATATGTAAAAGTCCTGCGCTCTAGCTTCAACTCTTTAAAACATTAAAACGTCTCGCTGCCCCTTTACAATCTTTCAAATAGTCCTAACTCTACTGATGAGGATTTTTTTGTTCCTTTGCTCTGAACCTCTGTATATTTGCTCCTATTTTTGTATCAGTGCATGTGTGCATGTGTTCATATGTGCATATGTGCGTGCACTCACCAGCAGCAGGACTGAACAGGTTGAGTGGCTGACAGCCCATAATCAGTGTCTCTTCTTGTTATCAGTGCTAATGCTAATCTGTCATATTTCCCATTCACCGTGTGGACTGCTAGCAGCACAAACTGCGATGTAATTTTCTCCTTACTGTCTTTTCTTTGTTGCTCTTGTTCCTGCTCTTCGTCCTTCTCTCTTTCCCTCCCTCTCTCTTCCCCATCCCCTCTTCTATTATAACATAAATGGAGAGCAGAGTATTTTCCATTTAAGAGTTGGAATGAGAAAAAGAGCCTGTCAAATCAGACACAGACACTGAGGCGGTATGGGCTACCTGTGCAGCATGCTAATGGGATTTTACCTGCATGTTAGCGCCCAGCCTGAGCTATGCTAGGTTTTCTGCTGTAATGGAACCATCACAATGGTTTTAGCTAAGGCTATTATTCTAAGCTGCATATTAAGGGTAATAAAGCTAATGTGACATTCTGTATTATGGCTCCTAAATGCTAAGCTGAGCTAAATCACTGGGGTATTTAAAATGACTGGGTGTCTCACTTCCTTATCTGCAGCGCAGCACAGAGCAGTCACTGTACAATGTTGGTTAAAATCTGTGGAATTGTGTGTATGCTGTGAACAAACTGAACTTCTTTTTAGCCTGATTTCAGGGCACTGAATATTAGCTGGCAGTTGCTGTAATGCCTAATGTAATGGTGGTTCACGGGCAGAGCAGAGAGGATGAGGTGACAGAGAAAAAGTATGGACAGGAGAAGGAGGGAGGGTGACAGGAAATGAGAGTGGAAGGAAGTAAAAGAGGATGACAGAGTGTGAATAAAACAGGGAAAAGAGGGTGATAGAGAGAGAAAGATCAGAAGATGGGATGTCAAAGAGGAGAAGACAGTAAAAGGTTTTTAGGATGTACTTTAAAGTTAGACATGTCACATAAATAACCATATTCTTTAGAGCTGCGAAATGCCTTTTTACTTTTGAGTGTGCGCGCACGTGTGTGTGTGTGTGTGTGTGTGTGTGTGTGTGTGTTTGTAAGTTTTTGTTTATATCACGTTGTGGAGACCTAAACTAAATATTCCACTTATGGTGTCAAGACCCACCTTAATTTTAGGTCTTTTTTGATGCCACCGTTCAAGGGCATCAAAGCTCGAAAGGTTCTCCTCAAAGTGGCTTTAACAGTTTATTTTGGGGGTTTAAAGGCCTTTAAAAACGTACTGTCCCCAACAGCTTGTCACTATGAGCGATGGGGTCCTACATTATCTCACAATTATTTGACAAAGCTAGAATAGTTTTTGTTATTTCACATGAGAAATGTTGCTTTTTTGTTGTTTTTCTCGCCCACTGGTTAGAAGTGGGCGGGGCTTTGCAGGTGGTGTCACATATTTCTGTGAACCAATCAAAGTTTATTTGTTTTTTTTTTGTTTGTTTGTTTTTTTTGGTGGGTGATTTGCTTTTGTTGCCTTACTACTTTCAACCAAACCCAATCAAACCACCAATTAGGGTTGCAGCAGTATATCAGTTTCAAGGTAAACCGTGATATGAAAATTGATGGTTATCATACCGTGTACATTTGCTTATCCACGATATTGAGAAAAAAATGCAACTGGATTGAGAATCTCACATTTATTTTTAGTTATTTTCAAAATGGAGACTGCTTACACATACTTGCATATAAAATGGGTTTCAAGTTACATTTCTAGTAATGACATGTTGTTCAACCACAAATAACCCTTACAATACCATTCCTTTATGGATCATTCTGACTGATAATAATAAGAATTCTGTGATATCATGATACCACAATATTTTCTGAGATGCTTATCGTACCATGAAAATCTCATACCGTTGCAACCCTACCGCCAATGCATGCGTTTGAGAAGTACTGAGTATACGACTGAATAAGCGAGACTTGGATTATACTGCACAAGTTGTGTGAGAGTTCGTAAATTAATTTGTTTTGATATAGTTTTGGTGTTATTAACGTGGCCCCCAATCAATTAATATGGCATGTGAGAAAAGCAAAGTTTTCTTCTTGAATTTAACGTGACACGGCATGACTTGATTTGTCATTTTGTGGGTGAAGTATTCCTTTAAGTTATAAACACTTATTAGTATAGAAATGTCCTTGGGATTCAGGGGTTTTGTACTTGTTCTTAGGTATATACAGTACAGGCCAAAAGTTTGGACACACCTTCTCATTCAATGCGTTTTCTTTATTTTCATGACTATTTACATTGTAGATTCTCACTGAAGGCATCAAAACTATGAATGAACACATGTGGAGTTATGTACTTAACAAAAAAAGGTGAAATAACTGAAAACATGTTTTATATTCTAGTTTCTTCAAAATAGCCACCCTTTGCTCTGATTACTGCTTTGCACACTCTTGGCATTCTCTCCATGAGCTTCAAGAGGTAGTCACCTGAAATGGTTTCCACTTCACAGGTGTGCCTTATCAGGGTTAATTAGTGGAATTTCTTGCTTTATCAATGGGGTTGGGACCATCAGTTGTGTTGTGCAGAAGTCAGGTTAATACACAGCCGACAGCCCTATTGGACAACTGTTAAAATTCATATTATGGCAAGAACCAATCAGCTAACTAAAGAAAAACGAGTGGTCATCATTACTTTAAGAAATGAAGGTCAGTCAGTCCGGAAAATTGCAAAAACTTTAAATGTGTCCCCAAGTGGAGTCGCAAAAACCATCAAGCGCTACAACGAAACTGGCACACATGAGGACCGACCCAGGAAAGGAAGACCAAGAGTCACCTCTGCTTCTGAGGATAAGTTCATCCGAGTCACCAGCCTCAGAAATCGCAAGTTAACAGCAGCTCAGATCAGAGACCAGATGAATGCCACACAGAGTTCTAGCAGCAGACCCATCTCTAGAACAACTGTTAAGAGGAGACTGCGCCAATCAGGCCTTCATGGTCAAATAGCTGCTAGGAAACCACTGCTAAGGAGAGGCAACAAGCAGAAGAGATTTGTTTGGGCCAAGAAACACAAGGAATGGACATTAGACCAGTGGAAATCTGTGCTTTGGTCTGATGAGTCCAAATTTGAGATCTTTGGTTCCAACCGCCGTGTCTTTGTGAGACGCAGAAAAGGTGAACGGATGGATTCCACATGCCTGGTTCCCACTGTGAAGCATGGAGGAGGAGGTGTGATGGTGTGGGGGTGTTTTGCTGGTGACACTGTTGGGGATTTATTCAAAATTGAAGGCACACTGAACCAGCATGGCTACCACAGCATCCTGCAGCGACATGCCATCCCATCCGGTTTGCGTTTAGTTGGACGATCATTTATTTTTCAACAGGACAATGACCCCAAACACACCTCCAGGCTGTGTAAGGGCTATTTGACCAAGAAGGAGAGTGATGGAGTGCTGCGGCAGATGACCTGGCCTCCACAGTCACCGGACCTGAACCCAATCCAGATGGTTTGGGGTGAGCTAGACCGCAGAGTGAAGGCAAAGGGGCCAACAAGTGCTAAACACCTCTGGGAACTCCTTCAAGACTGTTGGAAAACCATTTCAGGTGACTACCTCTTGAAGCTCATCGAGAGAATGCCAAGAGAGTGCAAAGCAGTAATCAGAGCAAAGGGTGGCTATTTTGAAGAAACTAGAATATAAAACATGTTTTCAGTTATTTCACCTTTTTTTGTTAAGTACATAACTCCACATGTGTTCATTCATAGTTTTGATGCCTTCAGAGAGAATCTACAATGTAAATAGTCATGAAAATAAAGAAAACGCATTGAATGAGAAGGTGTGTCCAAACTTTTGGCCTGTACTGTATGTGTGTGAGAGTGTCCAATCTTAGTGCATATGATAGTTTTGCATGTATTGGATGCATACAAAATGATATCAATGTGCTGTACGCATGTTTTTGTTGTTGTGTGAGGATTTTTTTTCTCCAAATGCATGCATGCTCCACTGAAGACCTTAAGCAATTTTTATGCTAATCTCATAAATACAATGAGGGTATCACTGCTGGTTATGAGGAACTGTGTCATAATGTTTCATAGAGCAACAAGGTGCCGTGGGTAAACCAAATTATATTTTTATTAATCACAATTTTGCCAAAATTGGTTTCTCATTCAATCATCCTTTCGGCTCTTTCTCTATATGCGTAGTTCTTCTTTCATCAATCAGAGTCAAAATTAATTAAATTCACCAAGTGCAGTGATGGCACAGGGTGGCCAAGTGCTGACACATTATAAGACACTTGCACAGTTCCGGATTGGCTCTCTGGACTGCATTCACTAAGCAATTGTAAAATAAGGTGCACAATATTTAAAAAAAAAAATAAAAAAAAAGGGATTGGACATCACCCTGAAAATAGCAGATATCGTCCAAGTTTATTTTTAGTCATCTGGTTACCTTTTTTTAAAAAAATATGTATAACTTCACAAGCAAAGCTCATTTGGAGCGCCCCTTCAACTGTGTTCTCTGCTGTCACTGTGTCACTGGATTCAGGATGTGGCGGGTAATATTATCCGTGAACATGACCTTATATAGCAGATGATGTTCATTGTTTTGTGTACAAAACAATATAGAGAACGAAAATAAATTGCCAAACACCTCCCTTAAACCTCCTCTTCTTTCTCCTTTGGCTTTTTGTTACCCTCCAGCCTCTTCCAGAGTCCGAGTACAACAGCAGTCCAGAGACTGTGGGATACCGGTTGAGAATATGGAGGACAGACGGCCAGGGGGAGGACAGGACTGAGGATGTGGAGAAAGCAGGGGAGACCAGTGAGGCCACAATTGAGGCCCTGAAACCCTGGACCCAGTACCAAGTTCAGATTCAGGCCTACAACTCCATAGGACCTGGACCATGGAGCAACACCGTTGCCGCACTCACCGCAGAATCTGGTACAAACACAGACTTTATTCACCCCCCGTTTCCTGTTTGCAAGTGTCAGAGAGCTGTCTGGCCAGTATTGTATTAGCAGGGTATAAGAAGACAGATGGATGAGGAAATAAGTGCCCGATTACCTCCCTGAGTCTCCTGCCACCTCCTTCTGCCCTCTAAACTCTCCCTCTATTTCAGTGAGGGGAAGATTGACGGATGAGGGAGGGGGAGAGGGAGATGATTGAGATAAAATCGAAGATTGGTTCAGAGAATGAAGTTGCGCTGAGCTGTGTGTGTGTGTGTGTGTGTGTGTGTGTATGCACTTGTGTACCGAATAGTGGACCTTGAAGTGGTTACACATTCGCCAACAGTACAGTGGCAAGCCAACAGGGGACATTTTGAAGGTCCACTGTTGGTCATACTTTAAATCAGTTCTGCCCTCCAAACCCCTGTGTATTCAAATGTTAATTGTGCTGCTTGTTGTGCATTTGACTGGTTAACTCTGGGTCATTTATAGCACACACACACACACACACACACACACACACACACACACACACACCACCAAATAACATACTATATATATATCAAAATGGTTACGTAATTATTCATGCTTTCATTTATCAGTTTTGTTTATGTTTGATGAGGTATTATTATGTTTCAAAATCACAACACAAATGTCGTTTTCGATTTGGAGGGCATATATTTCTCTGAGGGAGTGTCATTGATTTTGATGTGGCAAACAGTGAACTTAATCCAGTCAGGAGCACATATCTGTGTGATTTTATTCAATATTTCCCAGTAATAAATACAACTCTGATTACCTAGTGTTTTGCTGCACATAATATAGGTTGCTGCTTCCTAGTATTTTCATCAGCCCAGCATACAACTGGAGTCCTGTGTGACAACGAAGTAAAAAGTATTTTGAAATTCTATGGACAAAAATCTCTAAGAACATATAATACAAATATTGTGAAAAATTACTTAAAATTAAAAAAAGGTTTAGAAATAGTGGTCCATTTTTGACCAGTGTGGAGTGATAGTCCTCTGTTGGTAACATAGGAATGTATGTGTGTGTGTGTTCTCTAGTCCCATCTGGATCTCCAATGAATGTGACTGCTGAGACAGTGAGTTCCACCAGGATCCTGCTCACATGGTTTGCTGTCCCTCAGGCACAGAAGAATGGAGTCATCCTTGGATACAAGGTGTATAAAACACTCAAACACACTCATAGTGTACACACACACACACACACACACACACACACACACACACAATCCCATCTTGGCATTCTCACTTGACCCCCTCAGCCCATTATCACTTCCTCCAACACCTTCACACACTCTCAGACTCACAGAGATGCACACAGGCATGCACACAAAAGTCTAATATAAGCTGAATATGACGTAACAGCCTGTAACTGCTCTAGTTTGTTTTTCCTACATTACTGCTTTTAAAGGCAACCAGCTACAGTAATACGTCTGGGGGCGTGTGCGTTACTGTGCACATGCATATGAGAGAGTCTTTAATGTTTAATACCTTTTCATAAAATAGCAGTTATTGTGTCACGTTGTCGTAGAAACAAGAGCTGGATTATTTGTCTTTGAAAATGGACAATAATCCATAAAGCCAATAGGCTTTGACAAATTTAGGAGAGGGTGCTTTGTTGAGCATACATGCACAGTGTGATTAAGAGATTCTGTATCAGTATTTAAGTCCAGACTTGTGACCCACTTAAGAACACAGCCTTACAATCCATCAACGTCTGCCAAATTGAGCTCATCTTTTTCTTGTATCTACAAACTAAGGAGAAATCTGTCTTGCTGGAACCCCCCAATGGTGACGTAGATAACATACTCTGATGTGCAGATCTCTAAGAAAAAGCTGGATAAAAACAGCTAATTGTGAAGTGCAAGGTGCACTCATTTCTACCTGAGTGCACCACTTACTGGCAGTCACATCCCTCCTTTTACACTCCCACACACACCCTCCAGGGGTTTATTATAATGTACTTTACTTCCCTGTTTGGTTTTAAAATAAATAAAAGACATGTACCAGTTGTCTGAATTTTTGCAATAAAGCCTTTCTTGTTTAGTGGCATGTATGCACTGTGGCACCCCTCGAAATCCATGCAAAATATTTTGCTAATATAAAACTGGCACTGACTCCAGCTCTTAATCACCACCCAAACAAAACATAGCTGAAGAAATCTTTAAAAGGAAAGAAATTTATCCTCAATTCCATGGACACGGTTGTGTTATAAATACATACATCTACTAAAGAAAACAGGCTGTGACTGTGTGATATAAACCAGTACCATCAAGTATTTTAAAAATGTTGTGTAAAATTCAGGTCATATCCACCATGCCCAAAGCACATCACACTCCCCGTCTGTGTGTGTTCTTGTGCCTCCTGAGGATCACACTGAGCAGTATTCCTACCATGTTAATAGATGGGAAGTGGCTGCCAGCGGGTAGCTCTTCAACACCTCCTATCCCTAGATGTTGAATAGTTCTCTTGCCACGCACTCCTGAATATTTCTGTTTTTAGACACTTAATAGCTGACATTTTCCTTCAAAATTATCTGAAGGGTGGCAGGGAGTTCATGAACATGAAAAATGGAGAGAACAAGAACAAGAAAGAACAGTTCTTGACACATAATCACGTTGCCAGTGAAAGAGCAGTGTGTGCTGATTTTTTTTTTCATGTGGGCACTGATGTAATTTCAATTTGAGGATCAGTTTTAGAAGATGTTTCGGTTGAAGGATAGGTTGTGTGATTTCTTATATTTTTTCTCATTGTCAACAAACCCTACGAAAAGACCAAAACTAACAGGCATTTCTTCTGCAACCAAAGGCAGATGTGGCCTCTTCCTCCATTGTTGTCAAAAACACATCAATGAGCCATGTCGTTGCACTGGCTGAAATGTTCCTTTACTACAATGCGGTATGCTGTGCAGATTGTAAAGCCCTTTTAGGGATATGTATTATTTGTGATTTTTGGCTATACAAAATAAAACTGACTTGATCCGCCCATGATGGGAATGGGCACTGTATTTTGAGTGAATTTCACATACCGACCTGATGGTGTAAATACTCGCTAGCACAGCAGATCAGCAGCTGAAAATAGTCCACAACAGATACACTTAATACCTAATATTATTATGTTTTGACTAACAGTTCCCAGCTGTTACAGGAAATTACTTTGCTTCCTTAAAAAATGAAAATATTTATCCTTGAGTCCCAAGGCAATTGAATCGAACGCAAATGGACTTGGTTTTGTCTTAGAAGACGTTTCACCTCTTATCCATTTTAAGACAAAACCAAGTCCAGTTGCGTTCGATTCAGTTGCCTTGAGATAACTTATGACCTGGATGAATGAGAATATCCACAGGCATTTATCCTTGAGGTGTTTTTAAACCTGCAATAACTGATTTTTCAATTATTTGGGAGCAGCATGAACACAACACTGACATACTATCACCTTATAAAGTTGTTAGAACTTTTGCACTAAAACCTGCTGTCCGCTGTGGCCAAAAACAAAGCGATTAAAGTAGTGACAGTGTACAAAAACAGTAAAGATACAGGACAGAAAGTTAAACAATGAGCTGAATATTGCTCCTTTCATCACTACTAGCAACACCTTTTACGCACAAGTAATCCTAAGATCAATTTTTAAATGATCAAATATTGACTAGTAAAATTTTAAAGATTTACATCGGATGTAGAAAGGAAGAGGTTGGGACTGAATGCTACAGACAGGCTGCAACAATCTGAAATATTGAGAGAGTTGGTTTTGGTCTTTTTTATTTGTTGACAATCACAAAAACATAGAACATCACCAACTTTATCCTTTTAAGCCGCCAAAGCTACTGTAAAGGAAGGAAAAACAGACAGTGTTTACAGAGCTGATAAAGTGTAAATCACATGATTTGACTCGACACTTTCTGTACACTTTTGATCTATATTTGTGATTGTGATTTTCATGTGTGACATGTGTGCCTGTTTCTGTGTCCAGGTGTTGTACAAAGAGAAGGATTCAGAAGGTCCATCCAGTATTAAGGTAGCAGAAGGAGAGGGGAGTGTGACGCTGTTCCTCGGGGCTCTCCAAAAATATACAGTGTACGTGCTGCAGGTGCTGGCGTACACACGGATGGGCGATGGCCCTAAGAGCAACCCCATACTGCTCAGAACCAAAGAAGATGGTAGGATCTCTCTCCTTCTGTCTCGGGCTGATCACTGACTTCTCTGTCTAGCAGACTGTGCAACCCTTTTGCCTTTGTCTCACCACTGTAGCTGTTTTTCACCTCTTTCCGCCTCTGCTGTCAGCACAGGCAACAGTCTTTCCCCCACTTCACTGATCATCCACTAGGTTCAGCTCACCCCTCAGACCCCCTCCACAACTCAGACACGGAGAACACGCTGTGTGTGTGTGTGTGTGTGTGTGTGTGTTTATTTGTGTTAGTGTGACCCATGTGTGCAGATTTCCTCAGATGCAACCATGGCAGACTTTTTAGGATGCAAGCAACTCAGCCTGGCCCTCCTGAATAATAAAACACAAGCACGCACACACACACACATTCAAAAATACACATACAGGAAGACGTACATGCACACACCGACACACACTCTCATCCTCTATCAAACAGTGTCACGTTTGAAAAGTTTTTCTCATTTCAGGATGAAACAAGAACGGGGAAGTCAATTCCCCGCAATGTATAATGACCCTCCATCCTGTCTGTCAGTCACACACATACTGTACTCACACACGCACATGCACAGTCACACTGACACGCATTTGGTGGTGTGGAACATGTAGTTTTATCAGGAACAGTGTGAGGTTGAGAGAAAATTACATTTTCTATTTTGCGTCTTTTAGAAGTACCTCTTAAAAATGGATAAGACACTCTCTATGTGTGTCTATGTGTGTGTGGTGAGCATATGCACATACATTTGTGCACCTTGGTACCATCATACTAACTTATTAGAGTGTAAGTGCTTGATGTTGAGATACTCTCTTTCTCATGACGGTATTGAATGAGTCCTTTTGTGTGGTTTTTTTGCTGCTGTTCTTGTATACATTATTACCGTTTCATTCTGCTGCCAACTCCCTTCACTATTTTTCTCTCCAGTCCCAGGCCCCCCTGTCAGGATGGTGTTTCCAGAAGTTCGGTTGTCATCAGTTAGGGTGGTTTGGCAGCCACCCACGAACCCCAACGGCATCATATTAGGTACAATAACAAACACACACACACACACACACACACACACACACACAAACACACATACATGAGCCAGCCGATATTTTAGAGCAACATTAAAATCATAATCCACTCTTTCACGCTTGTAGTGACGATGGATTTATTTTCAATTGCTGAAGGACAGAACTCGGCTTAAAGAGGAAATGAGTTGGCAGTTTTAAACATCTGCACACACACACACATAAAGAAACACACACCCCTGTGATCTTTCAAGGGAAGGAAGGAAGTAAAAGCCGTAAAATGGAAAAGAGCTGATTCTGTTTTTAGCTTTCAAACAGGGGTCAGCTCTCTCCACTCTCCACTCCAGCGCCGAGGTTTGTTGATGTTTATGTACATGTAAGTGCGTGTGTGTGTGAGTGAGTGTCAGTGATCAAGCTTGTACCCGGGAGAAGGGCTATTATAGCTGCTGAAGCAAGACACCTTTCCTAATGCATACATAGCCTCATATATAAACCCACTGAGATTCACACATATCACTTGTTTCTGAAACTGCAAATCACAGCGTGCAAAGTGAATCAGAGAGAACAGATTAACGAAGAGGAAAAGAGGCGAGAGGAATGTAAGAGCTGCTGAGCTGGAAACAGAGAGAACAGAAGGGGAGAGAGGAGATGTATGGAGGTGAGAGGAGGGACAGGTGTGTGGGTGTGTGTGTGTTGCACAAGGGGGAGAAAGGAGCAGTATTTGTCCTCTCAGTGGGTGAGGGAGTCGAGCAGGACAGTGTGAGTGATGTGTGACTGTATTGTAAGGGGGAGGACATTTAGTGCGACACCACTCTGTGACAGAAGGATGAGTGGGAGGGCAAAGCTCTCTCTCTCTCTCTCTCGATCACAGAGACACACACAAACCCGCAGCCCTGCTGTGTCCTTGCTGAGTATGAGGTGTGTGTGGGGACCTCGTGTGTGTGTGTGTGTGTGTGTGTGTGTGTGTTTATGCAGATACAAATAACTGTAGCGCGCTGCGTTCTTTAGTGCTTATGACTGCCTCATTTCTCCTTGGGTTCTCAACCCATAAGGGACTGACGCAGAAGGTGGACAGAGGAGGAACACGACCACAGAAGGTGCACAATTTAATTTGGAACAAGGCAGTGAGGCATTTCTGTTTGCACGTGACCTCTCTGTGAGTAAAATATGGAAATGCACATGAGCATCCCAGCGGCAAATACAAGCAGCAGCCCAATTCAATACTACACACTAATTACAGACAAGTCTTGAATATGTACTGTGTTTATACGCTGAAGTCACAAAAGAAAAAAATGAGTAAGCACACTAGAAACCATCTAAATGTTCGGTGTGTGCTGTTGTATACGTAATGTTGTCCCACAATGCAATGCTCAAAGGAAACATAGGGGCTGCTCTCAGCTGCACAGCATGATGTCTCTTTGTTAAGTTTAATTGGCAGTGGCATTTCAAAGCTGCCTCACATGTTGCATCACTACCTGTTAGCACAAAACTGTAAACCACAAAGATTTTTTTTATACTATCTGCAACAATAGCAGCTTAATGATAATAATAGTACTGCATTTTATTCACAGGCACCTTTTAAAACACTCAAGGACACCTTACAAGACACAGTAAAAACACAAGTAGCAATGTATCTAGACATCATAAAACCCAGCAAAGCCATATATACAATAATAAGTTTATAAAATAACTACGTATAAAATCATCGTCATAAAAACTAGGTATAAATCATCATCATAAAGTCATCACCAGTGCAGAACTCAGTGTGGGTGTAACATTAGAGTCAGAATCAATTACTGTAATAATTGTACATACTGTATGGAAAAAAAACTACAGTGATGGTGGTGTTGGCTCATAAACATCTGGTGTGGTGTGCACAGTTAAACACAGAAATCCCAAAGCTGTTCCAACTCTTTATTGTTGTGGCAATTTAATCAGGGATGGATGAATGATTATTTTCCGTACACACGAAGGAAAACATTAAGAAAATATCCAAAAATTATAACAGTAGCAATAAACACAGGAGTAAATTAGTAAAGCAAATAAAGTAATCATTGTTCACACTCACTTCAATTAATGCATTCATAATCTCGGCATTTAGTACATCTTCAGGGCTCACTCAACATAAAATCTAATATAAATGCAAGAAAAAACATTGCATTAAACACTCAATCAATTAAGATTAGAGGAGTGAAAAGTCCTTGTTTAGATTTGAATAGCATTCAGTCATGGTTTGGAGCAAAAAGCTGAAATACAGAGGTTGTATATAACCTCTTCTTGAGTGTTTCAGGGCCTTAGTTGAAAAACTACCCATAGATCTTGGGTTTCGTAAAAACTGGTAAAACTGAGCATGGATACATGTGATATAACACTGTATTCACTTTGTATGTAGTGTAGAAATGGAGGAGAATTGAAAAGAAGACATCAGGCCCCAATACATAGCAACCACCTCCAGTACAGTTGCAGCACACTGCCCTGCTAGCTTTCAGCTCTGACGTACTTTGTTGTACAGTCATCATGGTACTAACAATGTACTATCTGTCAAGCAGACTTCGTAGTAACCACTGCTCTGAGTTTTTCATTATCACAGACAAGGTCAGTGAGCATTGAGCAGCTAAAAGCAAAAAAAAAAGCTTGTGTAGATTTACATTTTCAATGCCTTATGCCAGGGAGCATTATGAAATATACTGTACTTGTGACATCTTTTCAGTGGAAAATGACGATGGGCTGTCACTAACATGACACGCTCACTTTGTAATGGAAATGTAGCCTCATGTATCTGATAGCAGCAATGTCCTAATGATATTCAGTACACAACATAATGCCGTGCTCTGACCCAATTGGCAAGAGGATTTGTTATCTAGCTGTTATCCAATAATCTTCCACACACTGCGTTCACATTAATATACAATCAGACTATCTGATGAGATTATCACCCTCACAACCAGATTAGGTCCCTCTGAGCAGATTACTTAGTCTTACAGTGAACCAATCACCTCCGCCCACTTGTGTGTTTGTGCGAGTTTGTGCATGTGTGTATTTGGCGTACAATACAATCTTCATATTGTGAGCCTTTGAGAGTGGCCAGTGGCCTGTGGAAAGCCTGGTCGGGGATCAGTGGTTTGAGTGTGTGTGTGTGTGTACGTGTTGAAGGGTGTTAGTGTTATTACATGGCCTACTGCACATGAGACAGAGAAACACAAGCCATGTGCACTGTGGGTCACAGCCAAGGGGACGCAGGAGAGGTTTTATGTTTTTATAATGTGCATGCATGTGTAGGAGAATGTGTGTGTGTGTGTGTGTGTGTGTGTGTGCGCGCAGTGATGTTCAATGACAGAACTATGACTTTGTGTATGTTTTTGGTAAAGGCAGTGTGTTAGGGCTCCATACATACAAAGGTACTAATACCAAAGCAGCAGCATGGATCAGATCTCTTCAGAGCAGACATGGACATTTTCGGTTTTGTATGTGTTTCTGTGGAAATGCGGCTGTGTGGTACCTGGCACTGTGTGGTTGTGCTCTCAGCCTTTTTCCTATCTCATATTGTTCTCTCTTTGATTCCTGTGGGCTCTGTGATCTAAAGTAGGCCACAAAAACACACAGAAACACATTTGCACACAAGACTTTTGCACAGATATCAACTGTCTTCCTCCTCCATCTGTCTTTCCATCTGTCCCTCACTAGGCTACCAGATATCCTACTGCTTGGACAGCAGGGACCCCCAGCGATGGACCACAGTGGAGGTGGGCTCCAATGCTCGACAGTTCACCGTCACAGGACTTTCCCCTGAGCAGGCCTACGTGTTCCGACTCACTGCTCGCACCGCTGTGGGCTGGGGCGAAGAGCAGGAAGCCCTGGTTGTTACAACGGAACGTAGAGGTAAAGGACATGCGCATACTCTTACATGGTGTCTGGTTTACTATCAGATTTTTCTGCAGCCTTGCAGATGTTAATCACTCGAGTTAAAACCTGAAACAGTAGGAACCTGAACTCTCAAGCTGCCACTTAAACATGAGGTGCCGAATGTCTTTGAGCAGCTCACATTTTATTGAGATCATATTCTAATAATGTTAGTACAGTACAGAGTGACAGAAAACATGGGGAGAGAAAAAGCATGGGAAAAAGGTCCCCACCCTCTATCTGGTCAGCTGTATTAAACACTGCTGTCAGACATTTAGTAGGGCAGTACCTGACTATGAATTATGTCAAATTGGCTTTTGAGTTTGAAAGTTCAAACAGGGTTTAGCAAGACATTCAGGGTGGCAGTGACATTCACATAATATAGTAAACAAGTCAAATTAGTCCTCTGAGCTCATGCATGCTAGCAAAGCTAACGACAGATCAGGAATATGTGACAACATATTTTGCCGAAACTAGATATCAACCAAGAGCCAGAGACTGTATTGTATTAAGTTGCTGTGAGCTCCAAAGCTACAACCTCTAAGCAGGAGGCAGAAGATAACATTATCTTAGCGCATGACCCGGCAAAGCCTCTCTTCCTTGGGGCAGGTGTCTCCATCTCTCTCACTGGGTCTACAGCTGCCTACACCAAAGAGCAGCAGGAAACAAACGGGTGCTGACTGTGCACTTAAATCTTTAGACCAATACGTCCCCAGAAGTAAACTGCAGACTGACTGACCAAAAGAAAAAAAAAAAAAAAAAGAAAAGAAAAGAAAAGACTGCTCAACTCGAAGAAGTCTCTGACTGATGATTTAAATCCTTGACTTTCAGGTGGCAGCCCTAACATTTCATTTATTACATTTAAAGGCCTTGAAATCCAGTGTTGGACCTCTAGGATCAGTTCATTATAAGGATTGTCATTCTGCATGATCACACAATTTTAGTGGAACAGTTCTGCGTAATGAGACATTTTGTGAATAGTTTTTATATGTCCTCTTCTCACTGGTTTGAAGTGGGCAGGCTCAGTTGGAAAACAGTGATGTCACATCCTTCCATTTACCAATCACAATAGAGAGGTGAAGTCCCTCACCTTGGGTGGAGCACCATGGGATCTTATTCCAGAAGAAATATGTACGGTAGTTCATGGTGGGAGACAGATCATTTTTTGATCTAATTTGAATTGTGCCATGAATTACACATGATGTTTGTCCATTTAAAAGATAATTTTGCAAGACCAGAAAGTTGCAGGTAATCGTAAAAGTATTAAATTGTTAAAATACATCATTTGAAAAACTACACACCCAAAAGTTGTGTAAGTGTCTTTCTCCCTTGCTTAAGCTACATTACCAGTGTTTAATACTGGGAAGTACTCACACAAGCATAGCTACACCTCTCAACATGGCCAGCCCTGTAGTGATTTTCACCTCTTTTAATACTTTTTTCCTTGTTCTGCAACAACAAAGTGAAATGTCAATGACAAGCTGCAACTTTCTTAACTTTTAACATTTTCATTAAAATTGACATACATCATATGTGTAAGTAATTGCACAATTCAAACAGGATCAAAAAACTTTTTCAGTCAGGACCACTTTAGTCAAAGAAAACTTTATTTCCATTTGCAGTGGTATGGCTCTGTTCTGGGGCCTCTCTGCCTTTCGTCGGGCCTGTGCAGAAAGACTCTTCCAAGGGCCTACGTGGAAATCCATAAGGCAGAGAGAGCACACCTCTCTGCCCTTTCACATGCAAATAAGGAAAGCCTGAGGCAGAGTGAGCAAACCTGTCTGCCCTTCCATGCGCCTACATGGAAAGCCTAAGGCAGGGAGAGAAGCAGCAAAGACTCCCAGGAACAGAACAGAGCAGCATCAATGACAAATAGAAATGACATTGATAAGTCAGACACAGCATGAAAAGGAGGAGCTGGGGTGGAGGCAGGTTGCAAAGTGGCTTGCAGAGGAAGCAGCAACAGTAGGCAGGCCAGAGCAGTTTAAATAGGGTGCCCTGAATGAGATTCGCCAGTTGGTTGCATAGAAAGGAATCATGTGATCTCTCAGCTGACTCCCTTCCATCAATCAGCTGCTCCATCAGTTGATTGGCTGCTTGAGATCAGCTGATGTAGCTGGGATTTGAGCTGAGCTTGATGTCATGTCCTGCCTGAACTAATGCTATGCTCAATTTGTCTCTTGTCATTAACTATTGTACATATTTTCCCAGAAATAAGGTCCCATGGGGTATGCTTGAAGGGATGAATCTTTGCCTCTTTTTGTAGCAATATTTAAATCAACATCAACGTGACAGTGTGGGGTTGTTTGCTTATGTTGCCGACACAACCATCAAACAGAGGGATCAGACCACACAGCCACAATGAGGCAGATTACCTGAGTTTTGGAGTGTTTATCTTTTAATAAATAATACCTGGGGATGTTTACTTATATTAAACTTTTATAGTTGCATATTAAGTCATGAATTTGTAATGGTGTAGAGAAATGCTTAAAAGCCTCAAGTACATTTAATAGGCCAACAAAACTCTGACATGCCACAGCCACAACAGGTATAAATGACTAAAGGTTTAAATGGAACAGATTCATCATTAGCTTCATTTTATAGTCTTCCTGCTATGCTTAGTCAAAATGTCAGCAAGGAGAAAGGCTTGTAGGGATAAACAGTAGTGGTTGATGGGTCACTGATGGGGTAGTTTAGGGACAATGAAAACACTTTCCACAAAGCTGCCATCTTAGATATGTGTACGCACTGAGCTTTAGAAGATTAAAATCAAATTTATTTTTGAAATAGTAGTTTATCTTCTCTCCTTTATATTGAACGAGGTAGGAACAGTAACCGTATGATTTAATTCTTAAATAGTATTGAATCACACACTAATGGAACCAGTATAACAAGTGTGTTCATTTTGCCTCTATAAGAAATGACTTTTCCACATTGCTGGATAATTCAACAAGAATAATGGGGTGTAAGGTTGGAAGCTTTGACTAATGACAAGTAAAATTTGTCTTTTTCATGCACCCCCGCTATATGTTAGTATCATGTATCTCATGTGGCATTTGTACCAAAGCAGTGTAATAATCTGTAATGAAATTCACATTCAATTATGATGATGCACAAGGAAATAAAATGTGTTAAATAAACCAGATTAGACATGAAATGAGCCAATTTAAAGCAGGGATGACTTGATTTATGGTATTAATTTTACCCGTGCTTTAAAAATGTTTGCCATTGGGAAGTTCTGTTGCGGGAGAAAGCCACAGTTATTTTGTGTTCGTCTTGTCCTCTCTTTTCACATTAACTTTCAAATGGTCAAAGATGATATTTTGTCATTTCCTGCACTAATGCCAGTGCAGGAGGAGTCTGAAAAGGTTAGCTGAAGTTTTAGCATTTTAAAATTTTATGATCTCTGCAGCCCTATTCAGAGGTGTAATGAGTTGTGGTCGATGTGAAGTCCTTGCAGAGATAAAGTTAGAGAGAGAAAAGCCAGCATGGAGCTTCAGGCGTAGAACTCGGACAGATTATCAGGGCCTCAACAACAAGTAGTTTGAGGTTGGACATGTAGAATCTTTTGTTACTGGGTATTTAATATTAGCAAAAGAAAAAAAAAATTATGACCTTTTCTCTGTGTGAGACTTTTTACATACATAACAAGAAGAAATGACATTTAGAAACTCCAGTGGAGGAAGAACTGCTGGGCAGTAAATGTAGAAATCGAAATCATTAGGTATTAGCTCTCCCTCATGGGCTTAATGAGAGTCAGGAGTTCCTAAAACTGCCTGGGGGTCTGTGCAACAGTAGTGTATTTATAAAGGGTTGGCCGCCTAGCCAGGTTTGTTTAATTATGATGAAAAATTGTGGATTATTAAAACAAAGACAATTGAAGCGTCCAGTGTGTTGATACTTGTTGAGCGAGACAACAAGTATTATCAGCCTTTCACACTCAGCTGTCTTGCAACACTGGCTACTTTCTCATAGCACCATGCTCTGTTGTGGGCGGGTGAAAAATGTTCAGTTAGTAGGTGAGAAAGAGAGTGAGACTGGCGTTGTGTTGAAATGGCAGTAGTTGGGATGTCTTTTTTGCCAAATGAGAGAACACAGGCCAGAAAACAAGATGTGAAAGCCATAAATCTTAGATTCAGGACCAAAGTAATAACTATTGATCAATACTTATATCAGCACTCTGCAATTATGTTAATTTTGTCTTTAAGGGCAGAAAAAAATGTAGCTAATTCCATCTAATTTGAGCAGTCGCTGGCCTCATCATAGGGTATAAACTGTGAAAATAGTGGGAATTTTAGCACAGACTCAGACACCAAGTACGACAGCCCAATGCCTATGGCGAGATGTAGGAGGCTGAGCAGTGACAGTAACTCTCCTAAGACAATTTTGTCTCTAAAAGCCTGTATCAGAAGAAGTATATACCCTCCAACACACAGTCAGTGGCCAGAAAGGAGGAACACATTTCTACAGTGACTTGACTTTTAAAGAGCGTGAGAAGTGCAGTTCTTTTTCCTTCAATTTAGAAACAAATAAAAAGTCAAGTTTTTATCGTCCTCAGATTCAGAGGTCGTGACGCTTTTATCTCATCTTGTCTAGAATTCTGCTCTGCTCTCTCTCGTCCTGCTTCAATCAGCTGCTTTCATACTTGTTCAGACTGAAGCAGGAAAAATTTTAACTGGTGTCAAATGAAGATTCAGTATATCCCATACTCTAGTATCTCACCACGGGTTACACTTTACACAGTTATTAGAAGGTACAATTTTCTAGTCATGATCAAGATGATGAGTAAACTGACAGGCCACTGGTGTGTGTTAACATGTCGACAAGGTGCTATTTTAGGTGAAGTTTTGGAACAAACTAACAGAGGATGTCAAGGAACCAATGGCACTGTGCTCCGTCAATGTTAGCAAGACAAGAAAATTACAGTAGACAATTAGGTAAGCAAATACGCAGGGATGAAATCGTAAAGATGAATGTTT